CTAAAGTGGGTCCTAGGTGTGCATGTGGTGGGAAATCATCCAGCATCAGTGGATTTCAGTTGAGAGAGGAAAGGAGCAGCTGGGGTGGAGCTTTAAAGGGAAGGAGAAGACTGCAGGAAGAGCCACATAAAAATAATGTTATAGGTGACTTTCCTCATAGCATGTGTTAACGGAAGATAGTTTCTCACACAAATTTTTCAAGTAGAATCTGTAAAATCGCAGGTTTTTTGTTTCCAGCTGGCTTTTATCAGCTGCATGTGGAATGATGTCGATCCAGTATTACATTTTAATGTCTTAAGTAGGTATTTTGCTTACTGCTTTGGTTTCAATGCTGTTTGTGCTGAGCTCTCGGGGTTTACAGCACAATTCTAATCACGTCTTTGTAGGAATAAGTCCTATTGAATTCAGTAGGGTTTACTCTCAAGTAGATGAGATGATCAAAGGTCATCGAGTCCAAGCCCCGCTGCTTGTGCAGGAAATCCACTTCTGCTGCAGCTAAATAATTAAATAATTGCCATATGCATTCACACATGGTCAGGAGGATCCGTGAATCTGATCCAGATCATGTTGTAAGTATTGCTCATGTTATAAGCACTTGTGCTATAAGTAGTGAATAAAACGTAATCATACTGATGAACTACAAGGTAAAAGTGAAAGGAAGGAGAGGATCAGTTGCTTGCTCTGGAAAAGTTATAGTGGAACAGAAAAGCGTGAGTGGAAATAATACAAATGTAGGTTACGGATGGTTGAGACTTCTAACAGTAAGCCAGAGTAACATTGCAGCAGAGCTGTAGCCCCTCGGTAATCATTGGAGTAACTAGTTCTCTCTCTTTCCCTCGGTCTTTGCGCTCAGGTGGCACAAAGGCATCATTGCTTTCGATTGCAAAGGAAGTGTCTGCTTGCCTGGCTTCATCATATGCAAGAGATCCTTGCTGGGAAAGTAGCTCAGGCTGAGGGACTTTATTCCCGTCTGCTGCTCAGAAGGTCCTTCAGGAAATGGATAATGGTGAGCAAGAGAAAATGTTACTTACCACGGAAATGTTATAAACTATGGACTTTGCTATTAGCTTTAAAAGAGGATTCATGAAGAATGAGGCTTACTGATGTCTGCTGGTAATGCTGGTTATATGTTTCCTCGAGGATCAGAGGCAAGCTACTAGGAAACCAGTTACTAGGGAACAAAAGTGGGATAAGGTGATTATCGTCCTCATCTCCTGCTTGTGAGCTTTCCAGAGGCATCTGGTTCACCACTGTGGGAAACGGGATGCTGGACTTGAAAGACCAAGTCTCTTTACCTGCTCTCATTGCTCTGTGCTTGTATTGTACCTAGGAGTTGCATTGGAACAAAACTACGTGGCTCTCCTACTCCTAATGTGCAGGTCTCAGTTTGGAGCCACAGTTTTTGCCTCTCCTACACACTTGTCAGGGAAAAGGACTGTACCCTTTAAAAAAAAAAAAGGAAACTGAGATACTCACAACACTGAATTGTACATTCAATAGTGCCTGCATGAAATAGTGGAAAACAGGGAGCCCAGACCATGAACAAAACATTTTGCTATTGTTATCCTTGAAACATTAGTTTCATTTCTTATTTTCCTGTACACAAACCACTGAAAACTCTTGTCTCAGCCTTGTTTTTTTGCTTTTCCTTCCCATCTGTGTTGCTGTGTGCCTGTATAAAACATATCAATACTGAAATCTATTTCCCCTTCCTTTCCTTGTGTTTGTTGTATAGTACAAGAATTACGTATCTACTTTGGAAGAGAGTGCAAAAAAGCTCCATGAAACTTCACTTAAGAAGAAGGTCCTCTGGGCTTGGTTTGATGTACTCAATGAGGAAAAGAGTATTTTCTGGAGAAAACAGAAGACTGCAGATCAGTATAGTGACAGGTGACTATATAAATAGACTATATGTTTCACTTGAGCTGCATTTATTCCAATTGCTATTTGCCCTTTTCCCTTCATATATTGTCATCATTTTGTTTGTTGCAACGATTGCAAAGCGGTTCTTGATTCTCATATTTTGTAGTTGCAGCATTTAGAGATGGTGAGAGCCCCAGAAACTAGTGGTGTCCAGAGATTGAGTCCACCAGGCCTGGACACTTTCTCTGTTATTTCGCCTTCTTTGAAAATGGGTGCACTGAATCTCTCTTCATTAAATAAATAAATTGCAACAAAAATTAATAATAATAATTTGTAGTAGTAGTAAATTATTATTACCTGAGAGTAAGGCTCTCATAAATTTGTCTACACAATGAATGCACCCTCCAAAAAAAGATGAACACTCACAGTGAGGCTGCCATCAATGCTCTCATTAGTATGCTACTTAATTGTACAAAAGGGGAAAATGTGATTGATTCTTACCAGTCAGGGACCTGAAAGGAGAGAGAACAAAGCAAAGACCAAAATATGCGAGTGCAGCTAGCAAAGAACCAGACTCTTGAGTTCGCTTGTTTGTTTGTTTTTTTAAAACATACTTAAATGGAAAATTTAGAGCCAGAGCAAAAGGCAAGAGACTGAGAAAGCAGCAAATTCATAGGAGAAATAAATGCAATGATGAGCTGGAAAATGTTAACAAAGTAAAGTTGCGGAGAGGGTTGGGCAGAAGATGGTCAATAGGGGAGATGGAGCATTGGAGGAGGGAGGAAAGCAGCTTTCCTCCTCTGGTTCCCCAGTAACGTTATTGGAGTATTGCTCAATACTACTTGCTTCTCAGTCTACATTTCCTACAAACACAACTAATATTCCTACTGTGCAATCCTACACGCAAGTGGATATAGGATTGCTCTTCATTGTCACCAGCCCCAGGGCTGATGACAATAACATAAAAGTAACCGATTAATGGAATTGAGTGATTGATGTTTTAAAATTAAAAACATTTAATTTTCTATGGAAGTCCTACATAGATGGAGTGTTTCCCTAAACAAAAAGTATCTAAAACATGTTGAAGACTTTTCAATAAAACTGACAAGAGATGTGTGCTTACTGTTACAAGGTGTAGTTCCACCCTTTGAAAGGGGAGGAGCATGGCTAGTATCATTAACTTATTGTAAACTATGTAGTTTACGTGACAATCCTCTACAGCGATGATGTTCCAGCCAAGTTGTGCTGCGTTGGCATTATCCCCAGTTCTCATTAGTTCTGCTCTGTGCACAGGCAGCTGTTCCTCTTGCTGGCACAGATCCCCACAGGAGTAAGGTGGTGGAGGGAGCGAGGTTTGCTTCTCTGTTGGCGAACAACTTGATGGCTTTGGAGTCCTGATGAATAACTATTGTACCAAGGCACTTACCTGTCCATTTAAAAAACAAAAACAAAACACTCTTCAGCCTTTCCTCCCAACAGAACAGTGCAGGAAGATAATGGAATTTCCTTCCCCAGCACTCAGTTTCTATGGAAAAAATAGCTCTGATAATATTCTCAGTACACTTATACAAAAGCATTTAGTAAGTGTTGTAGGGCCTGGAGGAGGAAAATAGCTGCACCGGTATTAAACCATTAATACCCTTCTTTCTAGCATTTGTATATACTCCTATGGTATGCTTCCATATATGTGTGTATGCATAGCACACTAAAGACAGAATGGGATTTCACTTGCTTTTCAGAACAGTAGCTATACTGGCCTATACAGTAGTTATATATTGTACAAAAAAATAATATCATTTGTGTATCTCCCTTGAGAGTAACCCCATCAAACCCAGTGCAGCTTCTTGAAGTAGCCACTATGAAAATTGAAGCAGGGCAGTATTTATTGTTTCTGATTTCAGTCACCACCAGCTCTGGCTCTAGCTACTCCAGATATGTGCCCTGTGAGGGAATGGGGCCTTGAAAAAGGCCTGCAATACCTTCTCTCTGCCCACTCTCTTGGGGTGAACAGCAAAGGCCCTATTCCTGGGCCCATATTCTACCAGAATAATCCATGGGATGTATCAAACTAAGCCAACCCATTAATGCAAGGACTTCTGCTTGTATAATAAACCTTTACCTCTCTGCACACTCTCCCAAATTTACTGCAGAAAGTTGGGGGAATCCTAAGAACGGATTTGGGGGGCATGCAGGGAGAAGTTCTGTTGTGCAAGAAGCCCTTGTGCAAATTGGGCGACAAGTGGAAGTATACCAAAATGTTTTAAACTGGTTATATTCTTGATTTTTGTAAATAACGTGAGAATAAATGGTCAAAAAGGAGAGAAATTTGTTCCATACAATGTGTATTACATTGAACGTATGCATGTCTCTTTTTAATTCTGTTACCTTGGGGTTTTTTTCTCTCCCTCACACTTTTTTATGTAGGAGGATAATGCAGACTGTGTTCAGGGCCTGGAGGCAACTCCCATCTTTGATGAAAGAGGAAAGGGAGAAAGAAGAGAGAATAAAACAGCTAAGGAAGAGAGTGGCTGAAATTCTGCCAGACTTCCGAACATGACATTTCAGGCCAGAAGACAGAGGGGAAAAAGGAGTTCACACGCACCATTCTCTGGTTGACAGAGAATCTGCAGACATTCTAGCAAACAGACTTCTCTATCCAGTGTGATAGAATCTATTTCTATCTGCTCAATCTTGGGTTTGTTACCTTAATTTCTACAAGAGTAACCCAAAGGAATCTGTTAATGTTCTCTCCCACTCTCCAAAATTTGTAAGTAAGCAGACTGAAGAAGATACACATCCGTTTGATTTTGCTTTGTTACCAGCTTAGCTATCTTCAGTTGATTCAGACGGTCCTTCAAGCCATTCAGAAAGTTTAAAGTACATAACAGTTTTGGTTTACTACAGTCTTGGACTAAAGATGCACCTCTTTGCCTCTGACACCTGAGATGTACTGTATATTGTTCAGGACCCACCCATTTCCTGTGATTATTTGTATTAACTGTTTTTAATTCTGAATTTTAAATTTCTGTAACCTGCCAGGGGGCCAGCTAGTGAAGGGCACATAATAAATTTGATGGTATTTTGTTTTTCCAGAGAATAGTATTTTTTATATAACTCTGGGTACAATCACTCAACACTTATTTTTAAAACAAAATTTTATTTAACTGTGGTAACAACTGATCTCAAATGCAGGGCACATAATAAAATATCTCACAATTTTCCAAATACCTGGGGTTGGAGGAAAATTAAGAGAGATGCAATTCAGATATTCTCCACACTGCCATCAAACTGATAAAACATGAGCTGCAGCAAGGTTTTTAAATAGAATTCAAGTCCTATACAGTAGAGCTTGGCAGAGGAATAAGAAATGTCACTTAAAATATGATAGGAAAACATTTGTAATTGCACCATCCTGCCCTGCAGAGGCTAAATACATTCAAGATCAAGATTAAAAGTCACAATAACACATGATTAAGACACTGGACAGTAGGCAGTTATTACTTGCTCTAGAGAAAACGCTCTCGTAGCAAATTATTTTAAGACACTTGAAAGCAATCTACTTTGAAAGAAAAAAGCACCATTAAAAACAAGGAGAGGCTGAAATATCATTGGCCTGTTGGGAAGAATCAATTTTTACTTAGCCATTTTAAAGAGATGAAGGAAATATCTAGATGTCTTGGTCCAGTCACTTGACACCTTTACAAAAAAAAAGTATTCTGAAAAGTATAAATGCATCAGGTTTATTCCTAACACGGCTCACAGTAGCATTTTCATATTGCATGGGTTTGACTTTGACACCACTGTGACAGCAACACAGGAAATCGAGTCCTTAAGAATTCACTGGTGTCTAATTGTGCAATACAGAAGAGCTTTTAAAAGGAATTCTGTTCACATGAGCCCCCTTAACCCTCCAGTGAGGCACAGAAAGGATGAGAAAGATTAAGCAGGTGAAAGGGAAGCTTGTGCACCATACTAGATACAGCCCAACCAAGTGTTATTACCATATTGGCCCGAATATAAGCCACACCCGAATAAGCTGCACCTTTAAAATTAATGGGGGAGGGAGAAGAAAAAAGGAAAAAAATACATGAATATAAGCCGTTCCCTTCAAATTCCGCACTCACACCCATTCCGTTTTACCGTACGTCTGTTTCAGCAGCGATATCGTAAAAGCCAATTTTTGTAATGTCGCGAATTTAAGCCGCACTTTAACTTCTCACGGTCAGAATTTGGGGGGAAAGTGAGGCTTATATTCAGGCCAATATGGTACATACCCTTTGCACCTCCTCCAGAGTAAATAGTGTGTCTTCAACCTTTCCGTATACTTATGAAAGAAGCTATTTCTGTCCGGAAGATTAGCTTGAAACTATAGCCACACTGGAAGAAAAATAGCTCGGTTGCTTAGAGCATGGTGCTGATAACGCCAGGGTTGCACATTTGATCCCCATATGGGACAGCTGCATATTCCTGCACTGCAGGGGGTTGGACTAGATGGTCCTCAGGATCCCTTCCAACTCTATGACTCCCTGAAATCTTCAGTTTAAAATGGGTAGGCATTACCTCCCACTTATGTGCTGCAATGTGCAAGAGTATTTAAGAAACCTCTAAAAATCTGCATGAGTCCATTTATTGCCACATTCCATGGCAACATTTCCTTCATATAAATGTGCTTTATTTTTTCCAGTACATCAATGAGGTAATCCTTTCAACTTCCCTGAAGAATGCTAGACGTATAATCAACTGTTGGCTTAGCAAGAAACTAGTCCTTGCAAAGCACACCTCCAGCCAGCATGGCCAGGGTCTCAAGGGTGATGAGGGATGTTGGCCAGCAACATCTTCAGGGTACCACATTAGCTACCCTTTGGCTAGTAAAGCTAGGCTCTTTACCTTTTGCCCATGTCTCAATCTTAGGTCTTAACAGCATAATACACCACCATCAGTGTGGATTACCATAATGATCCAGCCAGACTTTTATTCATTTCCCCACCCTTAATTTATTCCTGCTGCACACTTCCTACATACCACCAGCAGGGAGAAAAACCTTTATATAGAGTGCATTTCAGGTCTCTTTCTGGAAGTGCAGAGCAGCCCCCTTTTTGATGCTACCCATGGCCATCATCACCACTGACAAGCACAAAATAAAAGCTCATGGCCAGATGAACCTCCTTGCGGTACATTAAGATTAGTCCGCACAAGCACATGAAGTTTCCCAAACCTCTAGAATTAAAAAATACACTACCTCTTCAGCACCGCAACCCAACAGCAGTGACCTCTTTGCCAGGTTAATGTCAGGAATGTTCCTGACAGTTAATGTGTATAATCCTTGTAAACAGCTATGTACACAGTCCATTGGCACAAGCGCATAGAACTGTAGACTGAGACGCTAATCCAAAACTGGTAGCCGGCTGTGGCTAAGCAGGTGAGCACTTAAGAGGCTAACATACATAGGCACCCCCATGAACCAGGTCATTCGCGCCCAGCATTTGGAATATCGCGTGTTTCTGAGAAAACGTTGCTCTTAAAATATGGCTTAAGAGATGAGAACTACCTGTCCCTGTAATGACTTCAGGTGTGGATGATCAGTTAACTAAATGTGACTGATAGGAAGCTGCTCTCATACAATGTCTTCGGTGGAGCGCTGCAGATCGGATGAGCGCAAGGTCAAGAACTGGATCCAATTGTGCAGAATGCCCCGATGGTACTGGCCTGTGTCAACCACCATGCCACATAACAGCCTCCGCCCAGTGTTCTCCTTCAAAGCAATTCGAGCTTCCCTCTCCGTCACGTTGTAGCTGATGTTCAAGAGCTGGATGAGAAGGATGTAGCCCATGCCGGAAGTTACAATGGTACAATACCACACACAGGTGAACGAAAGGGCAGAACTAGAAGGGGGTGGGAACAGAAAGCAAGGAACCCCTTTTAATACGGACACAACTGCATTGCTGTAGGGCTACAGAGAAAAAGGGAGACTGACATGCTATTTTGAGAGTAAATAGTAGTAACCTTTGGTGCCTTCCCATCTCAGATTCTGCATCACAGCAAATTGCAATCTCATTTCCCCACTTAAGTGCCTCATTTCGTTGCAAAAATTATTTTTCAAACAGTCCATCATCTATGCCAGGCATAGGCAAACTCGGCCCTCCAAATGTTTTGGGACTACAACTCCCATCATCCCTGACCACTGGTCCTGTTAGCTAGGGATGATGGGATTTGTAGTCCCAAAACATCTGGAGGGCCGAGTTTGCCTATGCCTGATCTATGCCTTACTATAAGGTAATAAGCATTGGGATTTGATTATTGCTCAGCTCAGCAACCAGTTCTCTGCCCTATACTTCTGCTCTGCAAAAATGCCCATAGCAATGTGGTTGCACTCAGGAGGTTACAGATGGTCTCTTTACAGGTTACAGACTGATCTCCCACAACCTGGGCATGCTATCTGATTATCCTTAAAGTATAGGTAGCCAGCACAGTGCCCTTCAGATGTTGAGGACCATAATGCGCATCAGTTCCTGCTAGCATAATCAGTGATGGGAACGGTATACCACAACATCTGTACCCCTTCTGCAAAGGCCACAGTTCTTCCTTTACACAACCACAATATTAAAGCTCCTTGCCCACAAAATCTATATAGCTATATTGTTACCATGGTAAAAGCACTACTAGTTGAGGGAAAAACCGAATTCACCATTTTAGATATGTGTGGGCAACAAACAGCCTGTGCTTAGATGTTCTTCAGTTGCTTCCCATTAATTTGAAATGGGAAGGCTTGTGAAAATTCTAAACTTCATTGCACTCAGTGAAACAACACAAGTTGTAGCCCGGCAATTCCAAACAGCAAGTAAATCCACAGGTGTAATTTGTACCAGAGAGTATTTAATTTCATTCAATTGTGTAAGTATGGAACTTGATCAAGGGGTGTGGAACTGGGCACAGGTAGTAAGTAAAAATTGAAAGTACACTAACTTCCCATTCTTTCTAATCAGTTTGACACTGTAAGTTTGCCTGCTCCACAAACAGTGTCATATTTTAGGTGCTGGGACAGGTGACCATGATTTAAGGTATGGTTTAAACCAAACTATGATAATTAGGCCCACAGGCCTCTATAGGGACATTTTTTTATGTTTGATGTTTTATTGCGTTTTTAGTATTTTGTTGGGAGTCACTCAGAGTGGCTGGGGCAACCCAGACAGGTGGGAGGCATATAAATAATAAAATTATTATTATTAATATTCCTTACAGACGTTAAAGACAGAATGGGATGGGAAGAAGATGATTGAAATACATTTCCCTCATAGATATATCACAAGTCATTGAGAGTTAGCATGGTGTAATGGTTAGAATGTTGGCCTATCATAGCTGTCAACTTTTCCCTTTTTAAAAGGGAAATTCCCTTATTCCAAATAAGATTCCTTGCAAGAAAATGGAAAAGTTGACAGCTATGTGGCCTGTGAGACCAGGGTTTGAATCTCCTGAGTGACCTTTGGCCAGTCATTGTCTCTCCTTGGGAGAAAAAATTGGTATATAAATGCAATCAATCAATCAATCAATCAATCAATCAATCAAGTGTCTAGAACAGAATGAGCTTTCAGCGGAGCAGGGCTGGATTGAGAGGAAGCAATAGCTGCATACAAACAGACTGCAAGGCATGCAAGCCAATATGGAGGCACAGTCCATATCACTTGAGTTGGAACATGAGACATACTGAGAAGGAAGGAAAGAAGATAACAACAATGGAAAACAGGAAAAAAATGATATGGGGCACCTGAAATGAGATAGTGGGCATTTGGAAATCATTAGCATTTGTGCATGCAAAGAGGAGGACAACACTACAATGTTCAGAATGCATCATCCCGGAAAGCAATTATGCTTTTTGTCGTTAAAAGTGTAACCTGACCATGCAAAAGAACAAAAATAAAACAACCCAAAAAGGAACGCGGGACTTTATATTTGTTTCAACCACAAGAGTCTCATATGGTCACTTGGGCAAGTCGCACAAGCACAAAATAGTGTGCCTCAGAATGCCAATCTATGAAAGCAGCACAAAGCTTCCCAAGGACAAAGTTTTGACATTAGCAAACATCCCAGCATGCACCTCGGGCCAAGATAGCAGAAGCCAGGCAGACCAGAGGACTGCCCCTCCGACAGAGGGTCATATCAGTAGTTTCTTATCCCATTGCAGAGTATTTTTCTCACCTGTAGTCTCCATAGACACCAGGACAGTAGAAGAGTGCCTTGATGGTAGCCTTCCCCCTACAGATGGTGTCCAAAGTCAGAGAAATCCCATACACTGATGTGAGCAGAAAAAGGGAGAGTGCAAGGATAAAGGCTTGGTGGTTCTGTTCCCCAACACAGCTGTTAATCCTCCAAGAGATAAAAGACAAACTTTTTTTACAAAAAAGTGGTGTAAGAAAACAAGGTGCCAGATTCTGGTGTCCATTAAGTATTCTGATGTCCAGCTGAGGAGTAGTTAACTACGGTTTGCAGTACGAACAGAATTTGCAGGTTTGGACAAAATGGCAATTGTTGGTTTGCCTCAATCCGCAAAAGGAGCCAGGGGTACACTGCGGGGGCGGGGGGGGGGGAGACCAACAGCTAGAGACGCATTGAAGGCTCATTTGCTAGGCACCAAACCACGTCTGGGTATTATGTCTAAACCAGGCTAACAGAGAAGATTCATATAAACTAGGTTTTCAAACTAGCTTACGTAAATAGAGCCAATATACAACAATCTGCACTACTTAAGACTAGCTGTTAGAAAGCTATAAAAGTATGCACTGTGGATATTCTGCACCCCAACAGATTTTTCACACACGAAATGTGAAATTTGTTACCTACACCCAGTATCCTAAAGGCCTGAACTTGCACGGTTTAACAAGTTTCTGGCCCTGATGTTTATAAGAAATTGGAAAAACAAAGGATCAGAAATGAGAAGAGAGCTGGGCAGACTTTACTTGAGATTCCTGCATTGCAGGAAGTTGGACTAGATGATGTTGGGGAGGGGGGCTTCCCACTCAACAAGTCTATGATTCTGTGACTTCCAGTGGTTCAATATCGTGCAGAGCTCTGTGACTACTATTCACTGCATTTTCTTCCACCTATCTCTAAATGGCCTGACCCACTCTTCCCCCTTTCCCTTTGGCCCAGACATCTAGAGGGGAAAACATCCCAATATTTTGATTGCTCAAATACCGGGAGCAGTATAGATTGTTTTAAAAACTGGCCCAACGTGAAGTGTGCAAGTTTGCTCTTGACTACAGAATGATTCCCCCATCGTCATTACACAAAGTACACCCCCCTAAATGAAACCATTAATGTATCACAATATTTACAACTGTTGATGGATGGCATAACAGATTATGAAGTTCCCCTGGGGAGATCTGGCACTCCCTCAACTTGTCTGGTTATAGAAAAAGGATACTGAATGCAGGAAAGAACAAGTATTAGACGGGGAATGCAATTCATGCCACAAAACTCACTATGCAGCAGATCAATTAAACATACTGACAAGAGCCCAAACAAAGCAGAAAGACCTTTTGGGGCAAGAGGAGATCCATGACTCATTGGTAACAAAGATATCAGAAAACAAATGTCAAAGCCAACTTGAAACTCCAAGGAACATACCAGACACAGTGATGATCCAGTCTCTTCACACACCTGCCACATATCCGGCAGTGCCCAGCTCGGGCTGGCCTAACCAAGTGACACTTGGTGCACCAGTCCTCCGTGATCCCACCTGTCCCTGCTTCCAAGACATTGGCATAGCCCTCAGGGTAACTATTCATTGCAATGTCAGGCACAGCTGCTCTGTAAAGCCCATTGGAGCTCTCCAGGTCATTCCTGTTTGAGATGTTGTTATTGTTGACGTTGCCGCCTTGGCAAAGTGCTTTGTCACTGCTCGTTTGGCAGGGAAGGTAGCCAGGGTCTCTCTTGGCTTGAGACAGGGCCACCAGCATGAGGATTAAGCCGCAGGTGAGAAGGATCACCTGGCTGGTGCTCACGTGGCCCCGGGGTACCACCTCTTGGAGGAACACGTAGTACATGTAGCCTAAGGAGAACAGCCCTAGACTCAAGAAGAAGAGAGTCTGGCCCTTCTTCCTGTGTGTGAGGTAGTAATACCACAGCACCAGTACAGGAAGTGATATCAGGATGACAAGAGCCAAGAGGAGGTGCAAAGCTGCTATGTGAAGGAAGACAGGCAACAGGATGATTGGCGGGAGGAGGCTGATATCGACCTTGACAGCCCCCCTAAGCCACGGGAGGCGAAAGCGGTCTGTGACGGTGTCTGCAATTCTCTCTAGAGTTCCCGGGGGCAAAGATCTGCAAGTCAGCCACCTGTTAGGGAAAAGCACAGAGGTCTGCTCATGTAAGACTGAAGAGACCAAGAAATACATTTGTGTTGGCTTCTGTCACTCTTTGTCACTTTGTGTCAGATCTCACCGCTGTTTAGGGCTGCTTCAGACAATTGCCAGCTCCTTGTGGATGAGCACATGTTTATATCCCCCTTATACATGTGATTGTTTTATTATGCATACAGACAAGTGTAAAAAGGATGTGTGAAATGGCCCTAATCCTTCAGTTTCTACCCAGAAATTTGAATAGTATTATGTGGGGCCACATCTCATCATATCATCTTAATGCTCATCTGAAAATGATGAGTGTATCACGTTGTCAGTAAATCCAGTTCTGTGAACTAGCCCTCAACTTTCTCAAGTTCTGTTCTTTTCTGGTCTGTCAGTTTACCTGGCAAAGAATCTCTCTGTAGAATAGGAGTGGGAATCACCATGGCCCTTCAGACGTTGTGGGGATGCAAACTCCCATCAGCCCCAAGCAGCATGGCCTATCAGCAAGGATGATGGGAGTTGTAGTCCAATGGCTGCAGCCTCCCCATCCCTGATATAGAAAGACAAGGATTCACGAGCTCATGAGTTCACCCACCACTTTCAGTACACTGAATAGGGAAGATGGAAGACATTTACGGCTCAGAGAAGTCTGTTGGGTTTTGTTGAGTTAAAGCAAGATCATTGTGGGATTAAATGGCTGGAACTCCTCCACATAACTTCCATAAGCTCCAGACAGAAGTGGTCAGGGAATAACAGTCCAAGACCATCTAGAGAATCACAGGTTCCCCTATGCCTGCCTAAGGCCACTTCAAATGTTCTCTTTCCAAGCAAGAAATCATAGTTTGTCTTGAAGGGAAGTTGCCCAAATTATGCAAGTACAGCTGGTCAACTTCCAACTGGGTAACCTTGACCAAGTATAACATAGGGAACACTTGCAAAGCTTTGCTTCGCTGCATATGTGTCCTTGAAGGGAAGCCACACCAGAAAAAAATAACATTAAGAAGCAACCCTTACTCTCCAACATTATCATAGCAGGGGTTTGGTTTTTTTCCCTTCCTACTTTTGGAAACTGCTGCCCAGTGTTGACATTTGCCAATTTCAAAAACTTTTCCAAATTCCCATGGTTACACCATTTTTTCTAAAAGGACTTTAGGAGTTGCATGTAATACACTCAACAGGTAAGGTTTTCCATCTCTACAGAAAAGAAAAAATTCTTCAGAAATTGTGCCTCATGGGGCTGTTTAAAGGCATAGTAGCTCTGGTATTTTTTTATTATCATTATTAATTTTGTAAGGTACCTCAAGCAACAGAGGTGGCCATCGGATCAGATTACCAGAATCACCACATGTGGAGTGGATGAAATACTCTTAATAGGGACAGAGCTCTGAAACCACACCCTGAATGCAGGCCTTTTTATGCCTGAACTTTGAAGACAGGAGGAGGGAACAGCTAAAGGCCACCCCAATGGTCACAACGGAAAGATCTCACTCAAGCCACGAGCAGGGCAGCCACCAACAAGCTAACTACTAGCACACTGGCAAAGCTAAGCAGGGTCCGGCGTGGTTTCAAATTGGACGGGGGAGAGGGCACGTGTTGGGAGATTTCTGCACTGCTAGATGACCCTCGGGAGTCCCTTCCAACTCTACAATTCTATGAGAAGCGCCAGCTGAGTGAAAGTTTCAGACGTACCTTTCACAGCCCTCGTCGAGGTCCTCGCACTCGCAGAAACACGCCGCCAGGTGGCTCCTCTGGCCCTTCCGATCCAGGTACTCGCAGCAGCAGAGGGTATCCTCCACCTCCGGGCCTCTAACTTTCTTCCTCCCACGTTTCATGGTGGCAGCAGCAGCAATGGCCCCTCCCGCCCTCGCAAAGACCGGAGGGCAGAGAAAAAAGAGGCGTGGGGAACCTCTCTCGCAGCATGCAAAGGGCAGGGAACTCCAGGGGAAGTTCTCATCAAAGCCAGTTCCCCAAAGAGGACTTTTGCAAACGAGCTGCGGAGGCAGAGGGGCAAGGCGACAGCAAAGAGCCTTTTGCAAACCCGAGGGAGAGGAGGAAACGAAAGGGGAGAGGCAGGCGCTCAGCGATTTCCCTCCTGACTCCTCCGGACACCTGTAACCAAGCGCCAGGCGGCAGCGAGGTTCTTCCCTTCCTGCAACTTGCTTCGCCTCTACCCGGGTACCCAGATCTCCTCCGCCCGTTTGCAACCGATGCGCATCCAGTGACTTCTCCTCGCGTTCTAACTTCCCCGCTACCAAGGTGCAAAAAAGGAATTCTTGTTGGGCGGGGGGGGGGAGCAGCTCCCAAACCCAACGTGCTCCTCCTTGGCCAACGAGGATTGGTTGGAATCTTTGCAGGCTCCGCCTCCCTTTTCTCTCCCTCCTGCCCCCGCCTTGCATCCAGGGCGCGCCCTGCCGTTCTCCCCTAAGCGACCTCGCCGCGCGACCTGAAGTTTTCCTAGCTTCCGGCTTCCTTGGCACGCCGGCCTCTTCCTATCCTCCCGTGACGTCACGGAGCCCTGCCCAATGCCCGCGGGGGGAGCGGAGAAAAAGCACTTGTGAGCGCGAGAAGTTCCGTCGCTGTAAGGAAGAAAAAAGCCGCGCCTTCGAAGTTCGGATGGGGCTTCGGGAAGCAGCTCAGTAAAGGCGGAGGAAAGGACGGGAAAGAAACTGCAACACAAAATTTGAGGCAGCATTCAGATCCTAAGAAACCGTGTACTCAAAACGGCTCCAGGTTTTTCCCATCCCAGGTGCCAGCCTAGCCCTAATAAAGGTGACCTGACCACTCCATAGGAAGAACCTAAGGAAATAGCCAATAAACTCATAAGGCTCTCTAGGTCTTCAAGCAGGAGTTTCTACCAGCCCTACCGAACCCTACTGAACTTGGGACACAATGCATGCAAAGCAGTTCCTCCACCACTAGAGTTGCTGCCTTTCAGTTGTAAGTTCACTTCTGACACTGCAAGCCACCCTCCCTGCAGGTCTGAAAATATGAGGCAAACTGACAGCATGGTAAAGCTTTGCTGGATGAAATACAATTGCCTCTGGTCTATTTTTGGGGAATCCTGCAAAATATTTAAGTTTTTACTCTGCTAACACTGGAATCTACCCTGAATCACTATTGAGTAGAATTTAATGACACGTGCTCCATCCCAATATGAAGTGATCCTTTGACAATGCAAGATCCTGAAGCATCCCACCCTTGTGACAAGAGTCATAGAAATAAAGGAACCAGGCACCCGACAATCAGCTTTGGGACACCCCAAATTAGGCACCTATACCTCCAGAAGCAAATTGAATCATTGAATCTAATGCTTGGCTTGGGCATGCTGCAGGTTTTGGGTACCAGAGTCTGTGGTGCAAGTTGCCCATAATTCCTGAAACTTGTAGAAGTTAGAATTAATGAAGTTTTGACAAGACTGTGCCAAACACAGCTGGGTTACGTTTAGGATAACAAGCTGTGCCTCTTCACAAAGGCTGAAATGGCCAGTCATTTAACCTATCAATGCAAGTCCTTAACAAAACAGGCAATGCTGCCAGCCACAGAAGGGGAGGTTGTCAGGGGTACAGTGGGCAATGATCTAAGTGGAACGCAACTACTTTATAATATGAATATGGGGCATCCAGAAAGTGTGGAACAGTTATTTTGATATTATACTATACTGCATTGTTTAAATGTTATTGTCCTTGAATCTTCCTGAAACACTTGCCACCCTCTCCTGCCACACCAGTGCACCCGTCCCTTTGAGAACTACTGGATTAATATCAATAGGTATATGATATAGCAAATGAAGTTTCAATGCTAGCTTTAGAAGTATTAGATGCTGTGCTCAAATGATCCTATTCATTTATATATTTGTATTTACAAAAAAGGAGCAAAATGGTCCCATCAAATGCTAGCCCCTCTCCCACTGTAGCACGACCCCTATCTCTTGGTTGGCATACATGGGTTGGGAAAAAGAACTTCCGTCAAAATCATACTAGGACTTATTTCAGAGAAACTGTGTTTAGGATCCGAGTGTTAATATGAAATACACCATTAGTTCTCTTTCAGGGATATGTGAGGCAAAACTCACCCACACAAAAATAAGCTTTACTCCTTCCATGCTACCCCTTTTTTCTGGTGCTGACAGCAGAATTTGCACAATTTTAACAGCCACCTTTGTAATGTGTCATTTAATTTCAAGCAGCAGAGACATAGTTTAGTGATAGAACATCTGCTTTCCCATTCAGAAGGCCCATCGTTCAATCCCTGGCATCTCCAGGTTAGTCTGAGAAAGTCCTTTGTCTGAAGCCTTGGAAATAAATGCTGTGACAAGCAGTGCATTTGCCACATTTATATTCTACCTTTCCTCCAAAGAGCTGGAGGTGGCATACATTCTCCTCCTCCACATTTTATCCTCAGAACAACCCTGTGAAGTAGGTTATGCAGAAACTCTGACTGATCCAAGGTCACCCAGCAAGTTTCATGGCTTAACAGCAATTTGAACCCTGGTCTCCCAGATCCTAGTTCAACACTAACCACTACATCGCACTGGCTCTCTCACTGTAGGATAGATGTTGTAAACTAACTATTTTTTAATTTCCATGTTAGGAAATGTCTCTCCCCCCCTCCCACTTTTTTATTTTAAAAAGAGGTCTGGCAAGAATTGTGCATTTGTAGTTATGACTTGCTCCTTTTGCATTTTCCTTTTGTCGGAGGGCTAACAGCTCTGGATTTGCAAAATAAAAAAATACTAATAGCAAACCATTTTCCCTAAGCAGGTAGTTGAGCTGCCATTTGTCCTGATGGTGTATGTGCCAGTACAGTACCAGTACTGGACCGTATGAACACAAGTGTTGCCAGTGCTGATCGGTATGCATCACGGATACTTCCAAGCCAGTAATAACCTACGGTAAATAACTGGAATAGATTAGCACTGACCAACTTCTCATATTGCAAAGCAGAAGCGAAAGGGGAAATGCAAGTGACTCATGCTTCCTCCCTTCACCTGTTTGTAATACAAGACAGCCCTTCAGTTTGGATGAAATATAGAACCTTGTCACCTGGCTCTGCACAGTAGGGATTGCGTTTAAGAAATTCAGGATTGGTGCTCTCAATAATGTTCTCTAGGACAGATGGATGCTTCATTTATATGACTGTTTCAAGTAAGAACCAGGTTTCCTAAAACATCCCAATATATTCTCTGTACAGTTATACTGGTATTCCATCAGAAGCACTTGCTTTTCTTTTACCTCCGTACTTTCAATTCCCCACCCCCTACCCCACTTCTTTTTGCTTGCCTTTAACAGATCATTTGATGTCATTGAAGTTTGTCAGCTGCCCTGGTTTTCAATTTAGCTTGGTCTCTACCCCAAAACATAAAAAGGTGGTCAGCCTGAGAGTCATTTAATAGCTTTTTTTTTGTATTTTATTCAGTAAGTTTTTGTTTGCTTTTTAGATATGCAGTGAAATCCTGTGTTTACTCAGAAGTTAAGTCCCACTGAATTCAGTGCTTGCTAGTAACCATGTTTAGAATCATAGCCGTAATAGCTATGCTAGTCCAATGACAGGTGGCTGTTGTGCATCACATCTCCAAGCTCCCACCTTCAGGAAGTTACATAAAACCAAGAAGCTATTACAGGCAAGAAGGCTTCATTTAGAAAATGGAAGTTTCCAAATGAGGAGAAGGAAAAGAAACACAAACTTTGCTGAAAGAAATTCTACCAACCAATAAAAGGTAAAGGTAAAGGTACCCCTGCCCATACGGGCCAGTCTTGACAGACTCTAGGGTTGTGCGCCCATCTCACTCAAGAGGCCGGGGGCCAGCGCTGTCCGGAGACACTTCCGGGTCACATGGCCAGCGTGACATCGCTGCTCTGGCGAGCCAGAGCCGCACACGGAAACGCCGTTTACCTTCCCGCCAGTAAGCGGTCCCTATTTATCTACTTGCACCCGGGGGTGCTTTCGAACTGCTAGGTTGGCAGGCGCTGGGACCGAGCAACGGGAGCGCACCCCGCCGCGGGGATTCGAACCGCCGACCTTTCGATCGGCAAGCCCTAGGCGCTGAGGCTTTTACTCACAGTGCCACACCGCGTCCCAACCAATAAGAGATGCTAAAGAAGAATTTGAGCACATTGCTAAAAACATTTAAAAAAACCCAACAACAAAATCCTTAAATGTATCAGTATCCTGTTTTGCCGCCCAAGGTAAAACGGGAAGTGCCGGCCGACTCTTCCATGCCTCCCACCATGCCGGCATCACCACTGCACCACCCACCATGCTGGAATCAATGCCGATTTAATAACAACAACTATGTACTACTTATTATTTATACCCCGCCCATATGGTTGGATTTCCCCAGCCACTCTAGGCGGCTTCCAGCAGAATATCTATGGCAAGATCTCTTGTGCTCCATGAGATCTCATGAAATTTCAGCGAAATCTGCTCAGATCTCACTGGCAATCAGCACTGCTTCTCTGCAGAGTGGGTGAGGCACCCATGGGGGCATTGCTTCAGGGGCTTCTACCACCTGAGGCAGCTGCTTCACCCTGCTTCATAGGTGAGCCAGCCCTGTTCAGGTCAGATAAAAGAAAAAGTAGTTCCTTACAAAGTGCATAGTTAAACTCTGGAATTTGCTCCCAACAAGAGGCAGCAAGGGTCACCAACTTGGATGGCTTGAAAAATAGATTAGATTCATAGAGGGTAAGGTTATCAAGACCTACTAGCCACAGTGGCTATACTCTGCTTCTACTGTGAGAGGCAGTACGTCTCTGAATACTAGTTGCTGGAAATCACAAGTGGTCAGTGTGCTGATGCACTCAGGTCCTGCTTTTCAGCTTCCCATGGGCATCTGTTTGGCCACTGTGAGAACAGGATGCTGGAAGAGATGAGTCACTGGCCTCATTCTGCAGCCTCTCCTTATGTACAGCAAACCTTCTGGCAACTTTAATGAATCCTCTCATATTTATTCACAGAAAGGTTAACATAATTCTCCGGGTATTATATACAGAATCTTCAACTTCATTTTCTTACCATATAAAATTATCAATGTGGTGTTCCTTTCAAGTACAAAAAGCACACAAGACATCAGATGTAAAGAGACATCACAGAAACGGCCTTCATTTATCTCTAATCTGACTAGTAATTTATAACTTCAATGCCTATGCTTTTAAAAAGATACACATACTACAAAAACATGTAGTAGTTTGACACAAATTGCCCCAACACATTTCTGTCTGCACTGTACATAAACAGTACTTCCTTCTTGGTTTTTTTTAAGCCTGGGTAGGTCCATCTGCTAAAGCTGGTTTCCTATACAAACAAGTATAAAGGCACTTTTGATGAACGTCAAGTGGAAAACCCAAAATAGAAGTCACAAACACGGTCAGTTCCATTTAATAGACAGACATATCCAGCACAGCCAGAATGAGGCACAATTTTATTTGTGCCACACTACCATTCTACATCGTTCTACTCTTCCAGAAGTTTAGAAAGCCTATTGTTCTTCGATGGCTTACAAGCTTGTTCTTAACTCTCGCAGATAAAGGTGATTCCCGTCTCATGTCACACAGTTAAGGTCTTAGTCTGTGCTACAAAATAGATATAACACAACCAAAAGACTAAGTGAATTCCCAGGCCTGAAGACTGTAAAATGTTAAAATCAGAAAAAGTCTCAATGGACTCAACATGCCAGTCAGATTAATGCACTGGTTGCCGTTTAAAAATATTCAGGGACTGGCCATTTTTTGAATATAATTCTCTGACATATAAAAGGCGAAAGATTTATACGATCTGAAGAGAAACCAGAGTATTAATTCTCTGACATATAAGGACAATTCCTGAGAAATCTTGAGAGCTGAAATGACAGTGGTTGAAAGAGGTAGAATTGCTTTGACTCGTACAGCAGAAGACCCACACAACCAAAACAATCAGTATGTTCAAAATTCATATTTATAAATAGTTTTCTAGAACATATGTACAGACCTTTAAAATTGCTTACTTTTGAATAATTGTTGCATGAATATGGAAAAATACCATATGGAGAACTTCTGGGTGTTACAACCTCCACAAGATAATCTATGCTGCATCCTTCATAATGTGAATGATTTTCTCATCAGATGTGAGTCCAATTTACTTATATATTTTTTTTACAGATCACATTGCTTGCTGAATTCTCCCCCTACAATTTGCATATCACATAATTACCAGACCACACAATGTTCTTACTCATTCACACCAGGTATTCACAGTTCAGGAAACTGCTCACAAGAAGATGTCAAGTGGATCAGGAGAATTCACAGGCTAATGGCTTTAAAAACGAACACATTTTATAGATATATTTCTAAGGTGTGCAAGTGGTTGTGAGCAGAAATGTGAGAAAAATAAGCAGCTCCACATTCAGTACAAAATATCTTCATCCTCCTTTGGTGACATCAGCTTTCAGGCTTCCTGCTGTCGGTCTTGTTTAGGTGATCAAAGCTGCTTTGGAGCATAGAAAGGGAATTCTTCAGCTACAGAAATAAAATCCAACAAGAATTAGGCAGTGAATTGTTTCTAAAAAGAGATCTAATTACTTTTCAGCAGAACCAGCTCCAGGTTTGAGGGGGACCCTCACTATGGGCTGCCTTCCCTTGTTAGGGTCCCCATGGGATTACGTGGCCTATTCTCTTCATATTTATTTCCACCAGACAGGTAGGTATTTCGGTACCGAAAATGAGTGCCAGACGGCTGCCATTGTAATTGCTTACAATGTGACTGAGTGGTAATGTCAACTTTGGATGATTGTGGGCAACTAAAATGGCACTGGGCTCTGGAAAATGGGCATCAGGGCAGCAGTGTAAATAGCATCAGCTATACTTAGTACTTGGGAGGCTGCCCAAAAATGCTCCTTTGTGTTGCTGACCCTGCCCCACACTAATAGTTATGTACTAACAGAGTGCTTACTACAGATGAACTGCAACTGTATTTTAAGAGATGGGAACCCAAACAACTAGGCACAAGTCATAAGAGATCTACTTAAATGGAATGCCAGAAATGAACTAGAAGACAATCCACCTAGAGATGTTGTAGTGGCAACCTGAGAACCCTCAGCTGTATGTAACGTATCAACAAACATAATTATCTGTAAAATTGTCTATTTGTTATGTACTGAGTTGAATAGGATCCAAAAGGCAGCAGTCTGATTGATCCTAGAGCAATAGGATCCAAAATGCAGCAGTCTGATTGGTCCTAGAACAATAGGATTCAGAATGCAGCAGTCTGATTGGTCCTAGAACAATGCAGCAGTATGATTGGTCCGCAGGAGCCACCCAATCCAGCTCTAGGTGGAAGTGAATCCGCAACCTGATTGGCCCACGGGAGAATCCTGGAATTAGCAAATCACATGCGGCCCATTGTGTAAATAATGTTTATAAAGCAGATATTTTGGGGAAACTTTCATTCCTCACTACTATGAGCAGAATAAAGAGCATGAAATCCACACTCGACTCAGAGTATATTTCACTATTGATTGGCCATCTGTTATGGATGCTTTAGCTGAGATTCCTGCATTGCAGGGGGTTGGACTAGAGTTGGTCCTTTCTAACTTTAAGATTCTATGATTGCAGCAGCAGCAGGATCTGCTCTGAAGTACCTACAGGCAACAGAATGGCATGGGTTTTCTCATCTCTGCTTTCATACATAAAAGAATTAAGCCCATTCTCCAATCTACATTTTACCAAATGTGTGTGTGAGGTTGTTGAGCTTCATTTAGTAGAACTTGCAATTCTTTAAATAATATAGTTTTTAAAGACATGTTTCCTTTGTAAGTTTTACTGGGATGCAAAGAAAGTTCTTTTTAATAAGAAGTACTGTCTCTTGGTCACCTTTACTATTGTTCCATTTCATTAGCACACATGCCACATACATGCATTGTGGCAAATCTTAAACTTCAAAGCTTCCTTAGTTCTTAAATATTCATAGCAGCCCTGGAAGTATCTCAAGCTCTTGAATATTAATATTCTCTTTCTCAAGCAATCTCAATCAGTTTTTTGTATCCCATTCTCACTAGTTAATACCTGAAAGCCTGAGGCCACAGCATCCAAATACGGAAGTGATTTATTAATTCTTTTATTAGCAAAGCACTCATCTTTTCACACATCCCACGTTTCGTTTTCACATGTACGGGGACCAAATAATAGAAACAGCAACACCCACCTGTTCAAGCAATGCTATGGAGTCCCTCAGCACTCCTTTCACATGCTGGACTTGATCTTTGTCCTGCTGGTGAGTTTTTTCTCTTGATGCCACATTAAAGGCTAAACTGAGAAGAGAAAATGCAGGGATAAGTAGCTGCCTTACAGTCCTTAAAGAATGGAGTCCCATTCTTTACTTTGCTTTCGCCTAATTAACACATTACTACCATGATCTATGCACATGTTTTCCGAGCAGATCCCAGCCTTGCAAAACACTGCAGGGCTGGCTCAGGGAGGGCAGTGTGAGCAGCGCTCCCCCCCAATGCACCCAGGGTAATCACCCCGACAGCCCCCACTCCCACACTACGCCCCTGCCCTCCTCAGGTGCTCTTGCAAGGCTGCACTGTGTCCTTGAATTGTAATAATGTCTTAATTGCCTGGACGGTGTTTATAGACCCCTCTGAATTTACCTACTGTACAAATGTATGAACTGTATTTGTTGCTCCACCCACTTTTGCCTCTATTCCCCATAAGAGAATGCAGCCTTTAGACTGAAAAATATTCCCCATTCCTGTCATAAAACAAAGGCTGAGCAGCTTCTCTGAAAGCCACCTAATGCATTGGTGTCTAAAGTGAGATTTGAAGTTGGTGCTTCTTGGCCCTCTTAGCCTTCGGGTAGACAAACTAAGACCCGGGGGCCAGATCCGGCCCAGTTGCCTTCTGCCCATGGACGGTCCATGAATCGCTGTGTGGATCTGATCGTTCAGGCTGCGCCAGCGCATGTGTTTGGCGGTGCCTCCTCCCTCCCTCCTCCTGGCTTCTCCCTGCCCTGCCTAGGGCAGAGAGGAAGGAGGCTGGGCTTTGTTGGTGCCAGCAGCAGCGTTAGCACTCAAGTGGCCGCCATTGTAAGCAGGCTCAGTTCAGGCTTTGTTGCTGCCAGCCCCTCTCTGGAGCCCCTTCGCACCATCCCACCTCTGCTAGCCCCTGCCGCTTGCAAGACACAGGTAAGCAGCCACTGGCGCTCGTCCGGTGCTGTGGAGAAGGGAGGGGAGAGTCATGGGGGGGGTGGCTTACCTGGGTAGAATGTGTCCTTTTTTATTTAAAATGCATCTCTGGGTTATTTGTGGGGCCTGCCTGGGGCTCTTGAATAGAATGCTGTGTCCTTTTATTTAAAATGCATCTCTGTGTTATTTGTGGGAATTCGTTCATTACCCCCCCCAAAAAAAAAAATATAGTCCGGCCCCGCACAAGGTCTGAGGGACAGTGGACCAGCCCCCTGCTGAAAAAGTTTGCCGACCCCTGCTCTAAACTACACCAGCTCTGTATTGTGAAGTCAGCAAAACTTGTTTTGTTTTGGTATCTTATATTTGACTAATGAGGCATAGTTGAGCATGAGGGTGGGGTGGGGAGAAATCCACTCACTTTACAGATCCTTCTTCCTGAAGCTGAACACGGTAAAACGACTGAGCTGCATGTTCAATCTTGGACAGTTTGAGGAACAACGTCACATTTAGCAAAACCAGTAGGAGCAAGCTGCAAAGAAAGAAACCAGGCTGTTTTTATCCCTTTTCCTGTTTCATGTTTATAGCATCACAGTAGTTAAGAGGCTAAACAGCAAGGATGGGGAAACTGTGGCCCTCCAGATGGCTGCTGGACTCCAGATCCCATCAGCCCTAGCCACTATGCCCAATGGTCAGGGCCAATGGAAGCTGTAGTACAACACCACAAATTCCCCACTCCTGCTACAGAGACTACCCCAGTAGGGAAAAGCATATAAGATTAGAGAGGAAAGATCACCTTCATGACAACCTTGGCAAGATGGTTAAGACTTTTCACTGGGCAAAATAAATTACAATATTCTCATTTTAAAATGTGTATTGAAAAGAGAGCTAGCATGAGAGAGTGTTGGCATTGTTCAAGCTACATTAGACCAGGGAGATCAAGGCTAGTCTACAAGCTCTCATCTTAACCTCTACCTCACAAATTTGTTACCAGTATTTGCATTTTTGCACCCGTTACTTAGCTGGACAACTGTACTGTAAGATATGAAGAAGTTTGAATTTTGAGGAATGGCTGTGTTTCAGTTCTCAGATTGGTTCAGAAGGTGTGGATTAGGGAGATTCCACTCTAAATGTGAACTGAATTGAATTCTTCCCCATTCCTGCTGCACATACAGTCACAATATATGTGAAAATCATTAGGGGGGGCTGGAGTTGCATGCATACACACTGGGATGAAACATGAGGATAAGAGAGGGTCCCTGACTTTCATTGATCCAGCTTTCCTCAAGCTAGTGTCTTCCATGGGTTTTGGACTAGCTCCAAAGCAATCCTCCCCCAAACATTTGGAGGGCACCTTGTTGAGGAAGGCTGCCCTATACTCTTACAGAAAGATACTGAGAGTCAGGATGACTCCCTGTCTCTACCTGCCAAACCAGGAAAGGATTATGTGTATGTGACCAGGATATGTTTCCTCTGAAGCCAATTTATCACTTGCACCTATATGTCAGTATCCTGCATGTTAAAAATGTGAGCAACTTGGGATTAATTTGACAATGGCTTAGGAAAGCTCCTTTCTGCAAAATCAGCCTCCATGAAATTCACTCAAATGCCACCAGGGAAAAATGTTTTCCCCAATATGTTTCGCCATAAGAAAAATAAAGTCAAACGAAATGCCAAAAAAGTACTTACAAGATGCTCATTACCACTATGATGGTGATGGTCTTATTTGTAGCATTCCTTTTTGGTCCTATAAGGCAAGAAAAGCAACTATTAAGTCCACTGTATCCATCTTCTTAATGGCGTTCCGTGTGCTGTGCTGGCTCGCCAGATGCAGCTTGTCACGCTGGCCACGTGACCCGGAAGTGTCTGCGGACAGCGCTGGCTCCCGGCCTATAGAGTGAGATGAGCGCACAACCCTAGAGTCTGGCAAGACTGGCCCGTACAGGCAGGGGTACCTTTACCTTTACCTTATCCATCTTCTTAAACTAGATTAACTTCACCTGAACGTGCATCTTTTCTGAAGACTTTCCCCCACCCCTTCTCGATGGTGGAGCAGTTCTGGTTCTTGTCTGAACTGAAAGATGCTGCTCGTGTTTGCAGTCAGAATACAAATTTAACGTAGTGTGTGTTTATTTGACATGCACAGCAAGAAGTACGGTAGGCAGATATTCTTGTTGCAATGGAAGCTCCTCCAGAGTCGTAAAGGGCCTGAAACATCCACCACTACAATGTAATAGGCAGGCTTTTAGTGTAAGAATAGTCTTGCATTAATCTCAGGATTCTACCATGATGGCTGCTGCATATAGATTGATTCCGCCTTGTGCACATGCCTGTCCACTGCCCAATCTTCTACCTGCCTTTGCTCACAATTCCAGCCTACGTCCTGGTAAGCTGGTTTTTCTCTGTCATGGTTACACAATGAGGACCCTGTGCAACCTCTGCCACAAGTTACAGCTGATGAGAGCTACACACAATTCTGATACCACACAAGTGCACAATTCACTAACAGAGGTGGCAGTAAGGGAAGCTACTTTAGGACACTGACTTAGAAAAACCATCTAATCATCTCAAGCAGCATTCCAATATATCCTGATGCATGTGGAGACCAGGAAAAGTAAAACATGCATCAGCTACAGAAAGAAATTTATGACCAAAGATAAATTCCATAGGCAACACACTCAACTAGTTTTCATAAATCAGAACCAGGAAATCATGTGATACCCACATAGGATATTTCTATACTTTGGTGTTCTACTACTAGTGCTGGTAAGCCTCTGGCTGGTCAACATACTCCTCCTCACTTGCACACCAAGATGTCCTCCTTTTTGTTATTTGCAGCAAACCATAATTTGCCTTTTTTGTCCAAACAGGCAAACTAGGGCTGGTACTTGTATACAAACCAATGCCTAACAAACTAGGTTAGGCATTAGATCAGAACACACCCATGACATTAGCAGTTGGACTTATCATCTGATTGCCATCCTAAAGATAAGGTGAGGTATGAAGCGCACACTAGACTTACAGAATGACATCAGCACTGAATGCTCTCTTTCACTTGTCAACTTAGGTTTTCTTGATCACCAGTTTCTACTACACTTCATGAGCTCATTTTCGTTCATCCCCATGGCCATTAAAACAAATAGCCATTATCTTGACAAATATTTGAGTACAAGATTTTTTGTAGCCACTAAGGGTAAGGGATGCTATTAAAGTTAAGAGTGTATACATTTTCCCTGAAACTGAATTGGCCACCCCGCTCCCCACATCACTTAGTATAACACTGAGTAAAACCTTTTTTTAAATTCAGATTTCGTGTTCCGGCATGCAAGTGTGCATTATAATTGCAGTGTATGTATTGACACAAACACTCTCATCTGAAAGGCTAGAGCACCAGTGAGTGGACTGATTAAAAAATCTAGGAGGCAGCTTAAAACTACTAAAATAATGAAAGGGATCAAAGAGTTTTAAGGTTTCTGCAGCACACTCTGTATTGTTTTTCTCTGTATTATCTTTCCTTGAATGAAGCTATGCATTAGCAGTTTAGACTCATTTAAAGTTGCTTCGTTTAGTTCATTCACCCTTCTTGGAACACTAAACTGGGCCATATGTTCCTCAAAATAGTCATTTATCTTCTAAATCAGCCAGTACATGATCATATGCAATTGAATAGCATATGGAATTTTGAAAGGGCAATTGTGCAACAAGATGAGTTTCAATATTCCAGAAATTAAATGAAACTAAGTCTGATTTCAGAAGAAGGTTTAGATGGTAAGAAGATGGAAGTAAAACACTAACACATACATAGGCATAAATAATGAAAGTCATCCAGTAGTGTCTTGTGAATGACATTTGGAAGATAAATCTCAAATACACTGTTGTGCAAACTGCAAAGAAGAAAAAAAGCTGGTCCAATCGCCCCTGTCCTGAAATCTGCATATTTTGCACAGATCCTACAAGGCAGCTGTAAGCACACATTAAGTAGCTGAAGACTAAAGAATCTGAGACGTTCTGAAATGTGAACCAAATTCTTTGCAAAGTAAAATAAAATACACTGTATTTACCAATAGGATGCTTTGTAAAAATGAGTAGCTAGTCTTAAAGAAATTTCCAAAAGAAAAAGAAGGCACCTTTTATCATATGTGGTGGGCATGTAAGGTAATAAAAGCATTCTGGGAAATGATATATAATGAACTGAAAAATAATGTTTAAAATAACTTTTATTTAAAAAAAACCAGAAGCTTTTCTATTAGGAATTGTAGGTACCAATATCCCAAAGGACCAGAAAATACTTTTTATGTATACAGTGACAGCTGCATGAATGTTATTAGCCCAGAGATGGAAAGAAGACAAAATCTCTACCAGGGAAGAATGGCAAATTAAGCTGTTTGGAATATGCCAAAATGGCAAAACTGACTGGAAAGCTCAGGAAGCAAGAAGACCAAAACTTTAATAAAGAATGGGGAAAATTTGTAACCTATCTGGGAGACCACTGTAAGCAGATGAAAACATTAGCAGGATTGCAATAACACTTGTGATGTAGCAAATATTATGGACAAAATGGAACGACTTAAAATATGGATTACTGAATAATATGCAGTTGAAAAGATAGACAATAGGACCCACGGCGGGGAAGGTGGGAAGTACAGAGTTTCGGAGGAATTTCCAAAAAGGATATGCATTTTGTATTGTTATAATTTTACATTTGTAAAACCAAATAAAAATTATTTCAAAAAATAATAAAAATTCCAAAGGCATCTCTGTGCAGCCACTTCTTACACCAACAGTTTAGCACTATAGCACTGAACCTGGAAGCATTGGAGACAGTACCTGCGGGAAAAGGCACTACTTTGCATAGAAGCTGTGTGTGAGCTGCAACACCACCACCCTTGTGTTGACTGTTCCGGCCTGCATGTACCTCAGAGATGCCATATTTGGAGAGGCAATGAAACTGAATGAGCTATGCAGAGGTGCTATATAACGCATGGCTCTCACGTGAGCACATCCCTGAGATTCCTTAGGCTTAAGTTAACGGTCAAAACAAATACTCCTACTTGTAGTACCCACCTCCATCACCACGGGAAGGTGCACCTGTCTCCCCCGAAGAGTACTGTGAAGAACGTTTAGGAAGTATCTCTCCCACATTCCTTTGTAAAGTCCACCTCCTCCTCCTCAAAACACCAAGTTTCACTGGATCCTCTACAGCTTTGTTTATTTCATATTCTTCCATTAGCAATTCCGATTCTGTAATGGAACAACATCCTATTTCTTACTCAGTTTTCATTTTATTTTAACTCAGAAATTCACAACACTCTATACTGACATTTTCCAGGATATGTAAAAGGTGGCTTTTGACTGAAGTGGGGGCGGGGAGGAAACATATGATGCATTGGGAAACCCAAATATTACATTCAAGAAGTCACGTGGAGAGACAAACCAGTAAAACAGTATCAGGTGCTGGCCTTATTTAAAAAGGGAGTGGGGAAACCAACAGTGAGTAAGGCTGCATTCACAAGGCAGTTTATTAGTACAGTCATAAAAGTCAAAGGGACCTCTGACCATTAGGTCCAGTCATGGCCGACTCTGGGGTTGCGGCGCTCATCACGCTTTATTGGCCGAGGGAGCCAGCGTACAGCTTCCGGGTCATGTGGTCAGCATGACTAAGCCGCTTCTGGCAAATCAAAGCAGTGCATGGAAACGCCATTTACCTTCCCGCCGGAGCGGTACCTTTTTATCTACTTGCACTTTGACGTGCTTTCGAACTGCTAGGTTGGCAGGAGCAGGGACCGAGCAACGGGAGCTCACCCCATCGTGGGGATTCAAACTGCCGACCTTCTGATCGGCAAGTCCTAGGCTCTGTGGTTTAACCCACAGCGCCACCCTTGTCCCTCGGGTTAAATGTGCTTCAGGTTGAGCATTTTCAGGTTACGCTCCGCAGCGACCTGGAAGTAACGGAGCACGTTACTTCCGGGTTTTGCTGCTTGCGCATGCGCAGATGCTCAAAATGACGTCACGCGCGGTGAATGACAACCTGCGCACATGCGGGTTGTGTTCACTTCAGGATAAGAACGGGGCTCCGGAACGGATCCCGTTTGCATCCAGAGGTACCACTGTACACATAAAAATGAGCAGGCTGGTCTACCTGCAACAAGTAATGCTTTACTGTGGTACATGGGAAATAATTTATCAGAGCCTAAATAAGGTTCTGCTACTGCCCTACTTCCAGGTTATCACAAACAGTTGGTTAAAAGTGAAATAACAGTGTTCTAATGACGTGATGTAGATATACTATTAAAAACAAATGAGCAGCTTAATGCCAAGTTTTGATGCTTCATTCTTGAAGGTACTCGATGTGTCAACCCAACATGCTTGCATTAGCAGTGTTCAAGAGCAGACACATCTGCTGGAAGGCTACCAAAAGGTAATAAATAAAGTTAAGAAACAGTCTTTAAACTGTTTCTAAAAGCTGGGAAAGTCCAAGGCTGTTCTAAAGCATAATTCTTGTGAAAATCCTGCAAATCGCACCACCGTGTAGAACTATGCAGTGCTATCAAATATCACAGCTATGAATGCAATTTGTAATCATCAGCAAGGAGGAGACACGGCACTTACCAAGTTGCTTAAAGTTTTCTCCTATCCCACCCCATGTGTTTTTCTCTATTATATTCTTGACAAGCCCCCATGGTTGCTTTCTGTACTTCACATCTGAGGAGATCCTGCAGCAAAAAGAATAATAAGGTTAGCAACTGGCTGCAATACAAGGAACATTAAGGACAGAGGCATGCTTTCCCACCCACTATGAGAGCAATTTTGTCAGTCTTTGCAGCTCAAAACAGCAAGCTGTGTACATGAGGCAAAGGCAGGGTCACTAGGTAACACCTTCTTCACCCATGCCGGTAGCCAAAAGGAGGAAATGCATAGAAGACTTGGTCTATGCTGAACACAGTACTGTACTTTCGAGTGCACAAACACACTGGCTTTAAAAGGCTATTATAGATTACACTGCCAGCTGTAACTTGATGATGAACTCTACTGAAAAGGCAGTTGGAGAAAGCTCACAACACATGTTTATAGGTATGTTCAATCCCCTGGCAAAAATAGAAGCAAAGAAACAAGTAAACGCCTGTTTCTGTCAACAGATCGTTTCCCAACTACCAAAGTAAACAGGGAAGAGAATTTGTGCAAAAGAAATTTGTGCAGAAGAACCAGTTTTACCATACTGAGTGCAGTCGTTTTTGACTGCCTCCAGTTTCCCCATTTAACAGTGCAAAATGCCTCACCGTAGTCTGCACTTCTGGCTGGACATGCGAACAATACAATAACTATACACGGTGTAGAAGTAATCGTGGTAAGGTACATCGTGTGTCACCACCTCCGTGTCTATCCGATAGCAATGATCTTTGTGGCTCCGTTTATGCAGGACCTATTAGAAAAAATAAAGAAGGTTTTTTAAGATTATAGTTCAAAAATAACTGAAATAATGATTTTATACATGCAAAAACATTTCCCCCCTCACCATATTGCAGTAAACGTAAAACAGCTGAAACAAAAGCATGCTTAAAATGTCATCGCACAATGGCTTGCTTTGCATGCAACACTAAGACCAGGCATAGGCAAACTCAGCCCTCCAGATGTTTAGGGACTACAACTTCCATCACCCCTGACCACTGGTCCTGTTAGCTAGGGATGATGGGAGTTGTAGTCCCAAAACATCTGGAGGGCTGAGTTTGCCTATGCCTGACTAAGATAAACCATGGCTAAGTACAAATAAGTAGCTTAGCCTTATGTCAGAACCAATGTTTGTCTCTCCCAGACAAACCATGAGCAGTAAGCCAAGAACATACCTTGTCTACAGCTCATGGTTTGTCTGAAGCGAGACAAACCATAAGCCCAGGTTTAAATCTAATGCTAAGCCAAACCATGGTTTAGCCCTGGGAAGCACAGCAGTAGCAGGAATGGAGAGAATTCATGTGTCCATGATTTTTGCTGTGAGTACCTGCACACTCATTCATTCATACACATGGTCTATCTTAGTATTACGTACAGATAATCTATTTCAAAATAAACTATTAAACAGGTATTCTTAATTTGATTATTGAGGTATTTCATTATTACCCTTTACTTCATTTTGAAACAAAGATATGGCAATACTAACTGGAATCTACAAAATTCAATAAAACATGCTCACTTGTCAATAAAATGGATCCATTATTAAACTTTCCTCTTGTTCTTACCTACTTTGCCCGTTTGGCCGTTGCTATAGGATCCCACACCTTTACAAACTTGGTGTTTTAGGCAACTTCCATACTTGGCATAAACTAATAACCCCCAACAGAGTTTTGTACCTGCTTTTCTGTTGCAGTTGTGAATTTCCCAACAAGTGGATTGTTGAGCCCAATAGTGTAAGTCATGGTCCTCAAGTGATTGCCTCCAATGTCTCTGTTCCAAGGGGTTGTTACAGCATCTAGACCCAAAACATGTAATCAATCATGTCTAGCCATTTACACATATCATCATAATCTTTAACTTGTTGAAAGTCACTGGAGGAAACAAAACTACCCAGGAATCATAGGTAACTTGTCTCACGCCTTGCATCTCCATGTGTGTAAAACGAGTTAAAATATGCAGCCATCAAGATATAGTCATTTCTGATAAACAATAATGAGTTTTTGGTCACTGGTTGCAATATGTATCCATCTAACTATAAAACTGGGACACGGGTGGCGCTGTGGGTTAAACCACAGAGCCTAGGACTTGCTGATCAGAAGGTCGGCAGTTCGAATGCCTGTGATGGGGTGAGCTCCCGTTGCTCGGTCCCTGCTCCTGCCAACCTAGCAGTTCAAAAGCATGTCAAAGTGCAAGTAGATAAATAGGTACCACTCTGGCAGGAAGGTAAACGGCATTTCCGTGCACTGCTCTGGTTCGCCAGAAGCGGCTTAGTCATGCTGGCCACATGACCTGGAAGCTGTACACCGGCTCCCTCGGCCAATAAAGCAAGATGAGCGCCGCAACCCCAGAGTCGGTCATGACTGGACCTAATGGTCAGGGGTCCCTTTACCTTTACCTAACTATAGAACTACACATTATAAGGAGCTTGGATCTACTGTCAATAATGATGGCCTATGTCAAGGTCTCTCCCTAACCCAACCCTCTGTAATTTAAAGTAAGACTTTTCTGTTTCTTGACATCATTTTGTTGCACATTTCTCTGTTCTCCCCAGTGGTGGCCACTTATGCAGAGTGGGGGTAGGGAAACACAGCAATATGAAAGAAGTAGGTTTTACTACATGTTACAAAGGGAGAAGAAGTGACCTAATTTGTCATCGTTGGTAGCAGCCCAAGAGGACAAGAAACTCATGAATCAGTTGAAGGGGATACAGGCAAAAATACGCCACTGCTTCTTGAAAAAGGTGAATCCGCTTGCAAAGAAGGAGCATCTACAGTGGGAAAAGCTCTCAAGAAAGGAGAGGAATTCTAGGTGTTTAATTTATGGAGAAAACTATCATAAGAATAACCAGCATCAAATTGTGGTTTCAGATCACAGTGTGTTGGTCCCAAGGGTTGCCATACGTCTGGAAACCTCAACAACATGGCAACCCTATTGGTCCCCAATAAACAAACTGATTTTTCCATGAAAGGGTATAAAGTTATTTCAATGTAAATTTTAAAAGGAAATTACCTGTTATGTTTCTGGTACTGAAATATCTTTGCATGAAATGGGAATTAGTGAAAAGCATTTCAAACAGCCTATCTGCACCAATGCGGAAAACCCGATTAATAAAGAGTTTTCCATGGAGGTCGCTCTCAGGGAATGTTTCCTCATCTGTGGGAGGGGAAGTGTACAAAGTAGAGGTTAGGCAAACAGGTGGCAAAACACAGTAAAACATACCCAAAGGAAAACAAACATTTCTTGCAAAATTCAAATTTAGTACACCACTCTAGAACAGTAAATTGTCTCTAGAGTAGACTTGTGAGACAATCTGCTATCTTACTAAGAACATAAGAAGAGTCGTACATGAACAGATAAAGCTTAAATGCACCCGATGAAGCTGTACAAGCAGGAATGTCAACACATGATGCCAAACGTTAAAGAAGCATTTCCTTCATCTTACACCAAGGCTCAAGACTTTGAGAGAATGACACCTGGTAACTGACTCTTGTGCTAAACAGCAAGAGGATTGCTACTCTCTGTTCTCTGTTAGGTTTATGTCTGCCAGTTCAGCTTGGCGGGGGAGAGAGAGACAGAGACAGAGAGAAATTAGGCTCAAAAGTACTGTGAATTACCTTTAATGCCCTCAGCAATAGTGTATATGGAATCAAGCTACTTAAAGGGCTGCCTAAATCCATATGAACCTGCCAGGGATTTGAGAACAGCTACAAGGGCTTGCCTCATTTGCCCACCAGGAAGAAAGCTTAAGCTGACAGGGACAGGGGGCAGGACTTTTTCTGCAACGGCTCCTTCGCTATGAAACTCCCTTCCCTGAGATATACCACTCCTTGGTAGTGTTCAGATGGACTCTTAAAACTTTATTATTATTATTATTATTATTATTATTATTATTAAGTATTGTTTTTAGGCAGTAGCCTTCTTTATAATCTTATACTGATATGGCTGGCCGTGATATATTTGGGTTTTTTTTTTAAAAAAGGATGTTATTATTACAATTACATTGTTTATGTTTTATATGTTTTGTATTGTTTTCGATGATTTGATGTGGGAAAAGATTATGACAGCTACCATAATTTCTCTCTCTCTCTCTCTCTCTCTCTCTCTCTCTCTCTCTCTCTCACACACACACACACACACACACACACACACTGTGTGGGGGAATATAGGCAATGGCATGATAGCAGGACTGTGTCTAATATTTAAGAGTGAATAAATAATTACTGAATTGATTCTCATTCTCCAAAAGTAAAGTAAAAGTAAGTCAGACCTAACATATTTTGGTGATGAGGGGAGAAAAGAAAAGAAGAGCAAGAGTATCCTTCATCTTGTTCTCAGTACTGAGAGAAATCAGGACTACAGTACAAAACTGAGATGTGGCGCTTGTGCAGTGGAGTCCATATAGTAATGACTGCTGAAAGCAAATACCACAGAGAGGAATCTGAGATGGTGCAATGTTCTCTATACTAACAATAGACAAGTACTGCAATATCCTAAAATATCCAGGCATGGTAATTAGAGGCAAACATCGACCCACATGATAAATGCAAGTGACTACAATGAAAAGTGTTTTATTTTCCACATGATCTACAGTTCTGGCTGCTACAGAATCATGCTCACTGCATTTAGAATCTAAAAAAGTATATCTATTCAAACTAGCAAAGAACGGGGCAAGAACACTTTTGTGCTGTAATCAAAATCAGGAAATTAAACTTAAAAGTACTAAGGCACAGAATGTCAATCCATTCATAATGACAAGGTGCACATGTCACTGGAGACTGTAATATAGAGATATGCCTCTTAGCCCACTAATCACAAGCAATTACTCGCTCTGTGCAGTTGCTCACACTGCCAGAGAGGTGTGTTGCAGTATAGAAATGAAAAGGAACAAACCACAAGGTAAGGAAATGTTTCCTGACAAGGTTCAGTGTTTATCTTGCAAATAATATTCCTTGGGTGGTTGTTGCTGTTTTGGTTACACATTTTTTAAAAAAAATGCTTACCCTTATGAAAAGCTCAGCTGCTTGCAGAAAGGAGACCTATATAATGGCCCCCGGGGAACACACTGAGCCTGTGCACATTCACTGCATTCCTATATCCCCGTGACCCCTGTCAATGGGCACTCGTGTAGGAAAAAACAGTATTCACTAATAACCCTTCAGTGGATGACACAATATGGATTGCATCAAATGGTCTTCATTGGCAGAAGGCTCTTTGATTTAGCAGAGGCTTTCATCAATAGAATGGGAATGGTGGATTTTGTTGATTCTCCCTTTCCCTGCACCACCTCCCATGCTGTTCTGAAGGATTCTCCAGAGCAGACTGAAAGGCAAATTAGCAAAAACTGCCTTGCTGTTTTGTTGATGGCAGCTTCTGCTTGATCAAAGTGCCTTTCATTCAGCAAAGAGACACCATTGCATACAACCCTTCATTTCAGCTAACTGGGGGTGAGTGTTTCGTAGCTATATTTAAAAGCTTTTCCTAGTATTTTTTTGGAAACTAACTTGCATGACTGTTGAAATGCAAGGTAGCCTTTCAGTCCCTTTACCCCCAGTATGGGCTAATCAGTCGTACACACCTGCCTGAATGTGCAGAATTCTGCTTTGGGAATGTCAAAACTAAGTGGCACTTACTTTTCTGGGCACACCAAAAGCTAATCCTTGCACATGGTAACTAGAAATATAACCATCTCATCTTAGGCCAAACACAGCACCTTCATCTTCAGGTTATTTACTTAATTGCTCCCAACCACATGGTCAAGACAAAGTTTCTCAGCAACACTCCTGAAGGAAGTGTCCTGAAGGAAGAAGCCACAGACTGAACAAAGTGAAGCAAAGACAGCCCAGCCTTGAATGCCTCTGTCCAACATCAGACTGAGGACATAAGAAACTGCCAAACTGTAGCTGTATATAGAGGGATGGCTGTAAAAATGAAGTGAAAGCTAAAACTGAACACCTCTTACATTTAGAATACAGTGGTACCTCTGGTTGTGCACGGGATCCGTTCCGGAGCTCTGGTTGGATCCCGAGGAATTTGCAACCGGGGTGCCACTTCTGCACATGCGCGTGGCATGTAGAGCACATCTGCGCATGCAATGAGACCCAGAAAAATACTTCCGGGTTTGCCGGGTTCGCATCCTGAAGGATATGCAACCAGAGGTGTGCGTATCTTGGGCACCGCTGTATATTCATTTTAGTTCAGAGATCATTCAAACATTTTTGAAAAATAATCAGAAGTACTAACAAAAAAAACCCCTTCCTGCCTGTGCAACACGAATCTTATCTACGTTAAAAATAAACTGTCCATATTCCAAAGCAACAGATTTCTGTGGCAACTAATACTGTTAAGTGACAGATGTACCATTTGCAAAATGCAATATTGAAACAAGACATTTCAGTCTTTGCCAGTCTCACTTTTTATGTCAATATAGCCAAGCAACACAGTAAATCAAATTTATAGGAGTTGGGAGGGTTGTGTGGATCAGCCTTTCCCAAACTGGTGCTCTCCAGTTTTCGGAACTACACCTCCCAGCCAACACGGACGATGGTCAAGGATGATAGCAGTCCAAAACGTCTGGAGGCCATCAGGTTGGGGAAGACTGGTGTGAATGCAATGAGACTGGCAAAACTTTCTGATGTGTTTTATTTATTGCCCAAGACTACTTTTGTTAATGGGACATGGGTGGCGCTGTGGTCTAAACCACTGAGCCTCTCAGGCTTGCCAATCAGGAGGTCAGCGGTTCGAATCCCTGCATCGAGGTGAGCTCCTATTGCTCGGTCCCAGCTCCTGCCAACCTAGCAGTTCAAAAGTACCCCAAAAAGGGCAAGTAGATAAATAGGTACTGCTCTGGCGGGAAGGTAAACAGTGTTTCCGTGTGCTGCTCTGGTTTCAATGTTCCATTGTGCCAGAAGCAGCTTAGTCATGCTGGCCACATGACCCAGAAAAACTGTCTGCAGACAAATGCCGTCTCCCTCGGCCTGAAAAGCAAGATGAGCACCGCAACCCCAGAGTCGTCTGCAACTGGACTTAATGGCTTTCTTAAGTTTGTAATTATGCAATTTTTTTATGTTGCAAGCCAATTTGAGCCCAGTTTGGAATGGAAAGGTGGCGTACAAATAAAATGATGAATGATTAATGTGAGGGCATCATCAGAAGCCAACATCATGGTTAGTAATACAGCAGACAGGGACAATAGTGGAATGGTTGTTGGTAGTGCTACTCTACCTTTACTTTTAAATGCAGTTTTTGTGCTTTCATCAATGCTTCTTTGAGTGCATAAGACTTCAATGACATTATCTGATGCAAGCAGCAGAGTTGCAATTGCTAGCATAGTCGGGTCACAGGACTGGCCCGCCTATCAACAACTACCTATGCTGGAAATAAATGGTGTAAATGTACAGCAGACCCATCAATTTCATGCTTCCACATTAACCTTTGTTTACTTTAGCTGTCCCTTCCTGCGACCAGGTTTTAAGGACTTTGTTTATGAAATGGAAACGATTTACCTTCTTCGTCGCTTTCTGACGCACTGCTCTTCTCTTGAGCGAAGTTCTCATTTAGATCCGGTGACTGTATTGAGAATTTGCGTTGTGCTACATCAGCTGGCTTCCTTTCTGAAGGAAGCAGGGAACTCCTCCTGTCCTGTTTATCACAGTGCAATTCCTCTAACTCAGGGCCCTAGGGAAAGAGAGCATCCACATAGTCCATCATGTTTATTTTACAAGGTGCTATAGTTAAAATTAGGGGCGCGGGTGGTGCTGTGGGTAAAACCTCAGTGCCTAGGACTTGCCGATCACATGGTCGGTGGTTCAAATCCCCGCGGCGGGGTGCGCTCCCATCTTTCGGTCCCAGCGCCTGCCAACCTAGCAGTTTGAAAGCACCTCCGGGTGCAAGTAGATAAATAGGGACTGCTTACCAGCGGGAAGGTAAACGGCATTCCGTGTGCTGCGTTGGCTCACCAGATGCAGCTTGTCACGCTGGCCACGTGACCCGGAAGTGTCTATAGAGTGAGATGAGCGCACAACCCTAGAGTCTGGCAAGACTGGCCCGTACGGGCAGGGGTACCTTTAACCTTTACCTTTTATAGTTAAAATTGTATTAGGACTACTATTCACAATTTCCTGATAACAAAAAAAGAACAGCAGAAAGAACTCTTGAACACATAGGCCCCAAAATATGCATTCTCCATGACAGGTTCTATAAAACAGGTTTTTGGAATGTCTGCATAAAACGCACCAAGCACCGCTGCCGTGAAATCTGTTCATTTCAATGGAGCATGCACAGAGTTCCCATGCAAAACCTATTGAAATTAAAAGGGTTAACAGCAGCTCTGCTTTTTAAACTTTCCATCATATATTTATTATAAATATGTATGAATCACCTTGAGTGGGTGTGGGGGGAAATGTTATATAAATATTAATTATTGCAGTAGTTACTGAAGTAAAGTAATTGTTACCACATTTTGCTTAGTGCTGAAACTTTGTGAATACTAAATTAGAATTATGTGCCGAACAGAATGTTGATATATTTTTAAGATAATGAGAGTACTTCAGATCTGTCGTTAACAAAACTTCAGAGATTTCAAATGCCAGGGAAATGTGGGAGTGAAAGCAGATACGGGTATTACATATCATAACAGAATTAGCAGTCTGAAATGTGTCGAGCAAAAAAATCTGGATTTCAAATTAATTATATGGGAACGATCAGCATGCCTTGAAGTGAAGTATTCCCACCCATCTCAACTCAAATTGCATACACAGCCACAATAATCAGAACAAGATTTAATCTATCAAGGACAATGTCAAGATTCCATTGTTGTTGTTTTTCATTTCCCATACAAATTTGTAAGCTCATTAAGTGTTCATATACAGCGCATGATGCGCAGCAGAAAATAGATAAATAGATTTCTGCTTCCCTTTCAAATCTGGGGCGGCGCGGAGGACAGGACTACCACAAGTTGCTCAAAAATACTTTTATAAGACAACTTCTAGCAACGAATTGTAGGAGTGGGAGAAGGGGAGATGCACTGGAAGAGCAATCACCATATCTATTGCCCTACTGTTTTCCTATGGGCAGATTGAGAAGTACCTTTTCTTTTCCCTTCTCATTGGTTACAGTGTGAAATACTGTATTTTTCCATCTATAAGATGCCCCCATGTATAAGATGCCCCCTATTTGGGGGGACTCAGATTTAAGAAAATGGCCTCGGCACTATCCGTGTATAAGATGCCCCCTACTTCTTGACATCATTTATTAGGGGGGGAAACCAAGTCTTATACACGGAAAAACGCGGTAATTCGCTATACCAGCTACAAAGGTAGCATAGGATATCTTCTGAGGCCATGTCGGAGAAATAAAGGGGCTTTGGACGTGGCAAAGCCTCAGTCAGCCTGATTACCCTGTTTTCCCCAACACTGCTAGTGTTGTATGCTGAGGGTGTGAGAGAGAGGGGTACAGAGAGTCCTTCATAGCTTACTTCTGTCCATATGTTTCCATTAAGAGACTCCGTTTCAACTTCAAGTATCTGAGCAATGGGTTCTCGAATTACACCAACTGCTTTAGGTGACTCTTTATCCCCAGATTCGTCACAAAGGCTAGATCTGCCAGAGACAAAAATAGCAGCAGAGTTAACTTACACTTATTTCACATACATTTGTTAGTACTTTTTACCATTTTGGAATTCCAATGTGGCAAGTGCAACATTTCAGCCTTAAGACATCCAGTCTTATTACCGCCAAGTTACTTCATTTCTTTTCCTGTGCTTTTGAGTAAATATCAGCTTTTCAGACTTTGTCAAAAGTGGTACAACTAACTTGTGTAACACGAAGATGGAAATTAATGCTGCTTTGTTGTATGAATAGAGCACAGAGTTCCTTACCTCTAGCTTATTTTTCCATCCATCTTTTGTGCAGTCATATACAGCATGAGATATCAACAAGGGAGATTAAAATCAGGACAGAATTAGGACAAATGTCAAAGTGCTTCCTTATAGATGCCTAAATATGCACTTAGTCAGATAACCCTTTGTTGCCAATCTCACTGTCACACAGTAAGCATAACTATGACCTCTCATCTTTGTTGGATTGACTTTACACAGAGATTTCCACAACTTCCACACTAGCCATGACCCAGCTTCCTTCCCTGCCCATAGCAAGACAGGGAGCAGAACAAACTTCCGAGAACAACCATGTTGATGGCCCATTGCATCTCGCTCTTTCACAACAAGAGCTGGGTCTCAGCATGATTGCCAGCTCAATCCATTGGAAAAAAAGAAAACCAGGGCATTCAGGAATCCATTGGATCCCATTAGGCCGCCACACCGGCCGGGAGAAAATGCTGTTGTTAGTCCAAACTTCACTAGGAAATGGTGTGATGATGGCAAAGGTAATTCACACAATTCCAGAGCATTGCAAACATACAGCTTCTCCTATTTTCATCAGCAGATTTTTATAATCCAGGTAAAAAGAAATAATGTCCTCCAGACATCAAGATCATGGGCCATCTCCCTATTATTAATTAAATTGGTTATGCTTAGAGGAGAAAGCTGGTACTCAAGTCCACATTAGGTTAGAATGTAGATACTACCCTTGTTGGTTCCTAAAAGGCTTACCAAGGATTTTCTCTTAAGAAAATCACAGCTTGCCCTCCGCTTGAAAGGCTTCGCCATGAATTAATATAGTACCAAAAATAGATTTTAATGGAATTGAAGGCTATGATGGAATTTCCTCAATAAGGGATTAGCAAATAAAGAAAATGTCCCATTGTTTGTCCGGCCAAAACTACACAGAGGCAAACTTTCAAGGAGAAGGATAATCCCTTGTCCTTGTAAGTAAAGCAGGAAGTCAAAACTAGGCTCCAAATTAGGCACTGGAGTAGAATGCATTTTACCAGGCCACTAACTGTGTTTGTCTAGCTTAGTTGAGTCATGAATCCTATGTGGTTTGCTACAGTTTAGAAGGATGGATCCCTTTTGAAAAAGCAGTTGTTAGGTACTACGGTAGGCTGCCAGATGCAGGCATCTCATCATCTCAGTACAGGATCTTGCCTCCGTGTTGGATTATTCTCTCCTCTTTGATAGGTGGAGCAGCTGAATAAACCAAGGCTGATGTGGCCAAAATAGTACAAGCAATATGCACACAGCACTCTCTACTGTCCACTTCGATAATCTCTGGTCCATTTCTGTCAAACCTTTGTAATCAGTGGACTGCAATAGCACAGGAGTCTTAAAGTATTTTGAGACCAGCCACCGTCCAGATCCTCAATTCTTAAAGTGGTAGCATGAAGCATGACCCAGTTTAAGAGGATGTGAATTCAAAGTGGCATGCATGCGGTAATATTCAGCAGCACAGATTAGATACTGTCATCGGGAATTCCCATGCATGTAAATAGTAGGGATGGTGTCAAGGGTTATGAAAGACATGGCGTCTCTACTTCACCATTGCTGGGTGTGCAAGACACTGTCCTTGATTCTCCCAGTGATCCACAGCAGCCTCCTAGCTAGCAGCACTCTCAAGAACATGTTGTGCTGTCTCTGCACTCAAGAAAACGGGGTCATATTGGTTCCTGAGGCCCTAGGAGTGGTATAGTATAATACCCTGGTTCTGGTGGTTTCGCACCCATAGCACTAGAAGTTGAGACACATTTTGTTTCAATGTGGTTATCATGTTCACCAGAAACATCATTTCCTTATAGAAAGTTGCCAACACTAAATGTTGATCCAAAAACTAAGAGAGGAAAGGTTTCAACCTTCTCAGACCCAGGAATTTCTTGCTGCCCCACAGTGGCTAGTGGGGGGGGGGGAAGGAGCATAAAGTTTATAAGCAAGCCTTTGAAAAATGTGTTTAATCAGCAAGAAGGACAGCATTGTGAGCCTCTTGGAAGCTTGACTCTAGAATCTTTGTGTGTTAAGGGTTGCTAATGCATACCCCCCAAATGTGGGGATACAGACATAAACAGGCACAAAACAGAAGGGTTATAGTTGCCTTCTCCAATGGCTGTGCTAGCTTGGACTGATGGAAATTGTAGTACAAAGTAGCTGGAGCGCACTGTATTGAAGAAGGCTGGCTGGCCTATAGGCATTGTTAAAGATGAGAATAATTGGCATTCTACCCTTCACCACAATATTGTATATAAAAGTACTAAGACATTTCTATACAATATTGTGAAGGATGCAACAAAAATTACTATGCTGTAATATTACAGAAACTACATTTTTCACAAACAAGGAAGCTTCTTGATATTGCCAAGAGCTGAAATAAGGGATGTAGGCTTCATCTTTTTAAAGCAAAAACACATTTTAAAGCTGCTGTGAAACAACAGATGTGATAGAAGTTAACGTCTGCTCAAGCCCTTGCAACCAAAGGAACTCAACTGTTTTACTTACCATACATGAAGCAAAAATACATGTGCTTGGGTGTGGGTGTGGGCGCACATGCACATGTGCCTATGCATGCACACACCAAGAGGGACTAATAGAAGGAATCATACCCATACATTTCCTAGAGCTTCTTCGACTAGAGAACTGATTTAACACAGAAGTCCAGTCACTCAATGAATCCATAGTATAAACAATTTCCACAAAGGACACCCAAAAGATGAGGTTCCCTTCTCTTGCCACGAAACCTGAGCAGATAAAGTAGATCTTGCACTTGAGCTGCTAAATGTATACATGATCTTATTAGGTAAGCGTCAGCCCCAAGACAAGTGAAAATAGCACCTTCGAAAAGGAATATGCTAAATCCTTGAAAACACCTTTCATTGGATATTTAGCATCATACTTCCACACATTCCTTTTCAGTTTGGTTTAGTTATCATCACTAACTTGCCCATGCAAGTTGCCAAAAGGCCTCTACCCCTGTAGCAGAAAAACATGGAAGCCAGTTAACATTTACATGCTCTTTACCCTATGCAACACCTGCACGTAGCAGTGCCACTGCTGCATGGTTTGCACTAAAAGTTCCTGATATACTTTGGCATCCAACCGGCAACACGTGTGTTGCTACTGCTACTGCTTGAACACGCAAGCCAGCATCACCACGGCTACAACCTTTTCAGCAGTCTAAGCAAGCAAGTGGTAATCTCTAAACTAGCTCGGAATTAGAAGGGCAAAATAGAAGTTACACCTGCTTTATATCTGCATAGGAAGAGGATCATGCCGAAAAATGAAAACACCACTAATAAGCAAAACTCTGTGTGCATTCAATAGTAGCCTTTCAAATGACTTGTATAAAATGGGATGCCCATAATATGTACCTTCCTTTGTGGTAATCTGCAGCATATTCTTACCTTGACTGTCCATTCTCCTCTGATGAAGAATAAATGTTTTCCATCTCTTCCGTGTTCAAGCCCAGCTCAGAGCCATAGCTTTGCTGTACAAGCTGCCAGAATTCTTGCTTGGTCAGTCTCTGGAAAACACAAAACAAAAAATTAAGTACGCTTGGTCGGTAACCACAGTAGATGGCTTGTCTTTTAAAGTTATACCCTATTTAAGCAGAGGTAACAAATGCTCTTATTCACTAAAAAAAAAAAAAATCCCAGTTGCTAGTAATGTTCAATCTATGATTCACAGTATACCTAGCTGCATCTCTAAATAAAAATGTGAAACAGAGCTTTCGTTCTAACACCCATTTTCAACTCTAACAGAAAACTAACAATACAAACCCATCATTATAGATTAATTATCTTTAAGATAGTACACTCCCGGTACTTTTCCTTATGGCTATTGGGATCCAAGACCACTATAGTCTTTGCCCCCTCCCACCCCAATTCCTGAAATATTTTTTTTTATAAAAAACTTCTCCAAGTCTTTTTAACTGCTGTGAACAGCTGCATCCTCTCAGCTGACATTAGTTGTACAACAATACCACAATCCCCTCTTAGCCAGCTGTCTTCAGGTCAAGTGGCTTCTTCACTCAACTGCTGAAGAGGCCCCAAGCATAGTGACAACAGCAAAATAGCATGTGAACCAAAGCAATGTAGTTGCTGTATGTACCCAACTCAAACACAGGAGTCAAAGATAGCATTACCAAAAAAATCAGATCCTATGTTGATCATGAATTAACCATCACTGAACTGTTTTCTCGTTTGTCTCCCCTCTGGCCAGAACATATTCACAAACCTGCCTTGAAATGATGTACTAGGATTACATGTTTAATGTTAAAGCAGGACGCATAGGGTGGTATAAAACTCACTAAAGCATAAGTACGCTTGCCATTTGTACCTAACTACTGACAAACTTCAGAAGCATTAAAAAACTTTCCAAATATGCTTTCTCCTAGCCTAGGAGAAATAGAAGATTTCCTCCATCTCATTGAGATGTGACACGATAGTGTTGTGAACTGCACTTTCTGTTCACTGTGAGTGGCCAGGATTGTTAACTAAAGAACCTGAATGGTCCTTAATGACCAGAAATGGTTTTTTTCTGATAGCCAGAAGACCCTTATTGGCCTATGTATTGGCCTATATACAGTGGTACCTCGGGTTAAGAACTTAATTCGTTCTAGAGGTCCGTTCTTAACCTGAAACTGTTCTTAACCTGAGGTACCACTTTAGCTAGTGGGGCCTCACGCTGCCGCCGCACCGCCACCACCCGATTTCTGTTCTCATCCTGAAGCAGAGTTCTTAACCCGAAGCACTATTTCTGGGTTAGTGGAGTCTGTAACCTGAAGCATCTGTAACCTGAAGCGTCTGTAACCCGAGGTACCACTGTAGTACCAATCAGAATTTGGAAGACGACACCTCTCAGAGTTAAGGGAACAGTCTGAAAGCACATGATGCGACAACCTTTTTGAAGTTAAGCACGCCATGGGCTCTGGTCAGGATGAAGACTGGAGACTGCCTACAATCTATATGTAAGCTACTTTCGGTTTCATTGTGAAATAGCTGCAGGGTATAAATGTAATAAATAAGAAGAGTTGCCGAGAAAGTTTGGAGTTAGGATTTGAATTTTAAATGGAGAGAAGATCTCTCTCTCTCTCTCTCTCTCTCTCTCTCTCTCACACACACACACACACACATACACACACACACACAATCTGGAGGTGCAGGGTCCCTCTCTGACACTTGGATACAGGTTTAGCAGACTAGCTGCCTGTCGTAGCCTTGTATTTGCTACCAGTATTCTCTGCTTGTATATTTGTAAATAAATGACAAAAGGTGTCAAAAGTCTGTAATGCACTCATTCAAAATACATCAGAAACTAAACTCTGTAACACAGCCAATACCAAACATTCCAGAATTTCTGCAGAGGAGGCAAGCAGTATGAGGCCTAAGCTTTCTCCCCCTTTTTCGCCATTATTTTTTCATCCCTCTTTGCCCGTATTTGTTTATATGACCTTGAGTGTGGGCCAGTTGACATTTCACGTGGCGGTCACATTTGCTGTGGTAAATAACTGAAACACCCAATGGCCTGTTCGCACAAAACAGTCTAAGCAAAATTAAGATTTAGCTATGGCTTACACTGCGCTACTGGGCCCAGTTCAAAATGTTAGTCCAAGCATACATAGTCCCAAGGTAGTGAGGTATGTCTCTCTCTCTCTCATTAACTTTTAGGAAGAATCTAAAAACATTTCTGTTTACTTAGGCATTTGGTGGCTGAAAGATCTTTTCCTGGCAATACTGGAATTACTGAGTGAGTTCTTGGGGTTTTTTTTTAGAAGTTTTAAACTATTTTTAGAAAATTGTTTTTAAACTGCTTTTTAAAGTTTTAGCTGTATTCTAAGTTTCATAAAAACAACAGCAGCAATCTTGAGAAACCAGAGAGCTCTAAGTTTCCCACTGTAGGTGCCGCCCTGTGCAAATTGTAACCAATGAATTCATACATTTTCCATTTCAGCTATTAAAAGTATTGCCATTTCTATAAATATGCTTCTCAAAATATGGAGGAAATGAGATTTTAAAAATAATTATACTTGTCTTCTCTGTACTTGCATTGTTGAGAAAAACTGATATGCCATTCAAATGAACTTTGGCCCTCCAAGAAGGCAAGACAGCTACTGTACAATCTTTCGCAGTCAAAGTACAGGCGGCTGGTTTTGAAGATAAGTAAACTGAGAGAATCTCAGATGAATGGCCAACCATACTGTTATGTGCTCCCCACTTCCTCAAGCAGTGAAAAGCTCCAGGGGCACAGCAAAATTTAGCCTCCTTTGGACATGGGAGATTTAGTGGCAGACACAACAGAGCGCGTCTGCTTACATGGGAGGGTTCTTAAGTCCTTCACCCAGCCGCAGCCTCCCCACTCCTCATGTCCTATCAAGACCCTTTTGCTAACATAAAGCGGCGGGTCTCAGATTTCCCAAGACAACTTATCCCAGTTTTATCCCCTCATACCACATCAATGTACAACATTGATGAGGCCTCCTCTGAAATGACTAAATGGAGCTGAAGTGAGAAGGGCATGGAAATGTACTGTTCCATGCATAGAATTCAGAGTAGTAATAGCACTAGGATTGGCTTTCTAATATTTGATTTTATTTACAACAGGAGTGGGGAACCTCCTGTGGCCCTCCAGATGTTGCTGGACTCCAACTCCCACTGGTCCCCTGACCCTGATTTACAAATATACAGACATTCCTTCAGCAGACAGCAAGTCCCTAGAGAGCTATTTGTGCATGCTTTACCAAGTTCTCCCTCTACCTCGCTTTATTCAAATTGTGTGGGGTTTTTCCTCCCACCCCCAGAAACACACCCCTTGTGCACAGCACTGGTCATAGATGCCACCATTGTAAATGAATTGGCCATTCAGGAAATAGCTACACCCATTAAAGGAATATTAAGGTTCCCCCCCCACCCTAAATCCCAACTCCAATCAGGTGATATACCCACTAACAGGAATCAGACAAGCAAACTCACGTTTATGCTCCAACTATACTGTGTAACTCATTCACCACGAGAACTCAAGCTTTCCTAATGAATTAATGGTAACTATTTGCCATTCATATGAAGCCAGTAGGAAATATTTGCTCAAGCATGCCACGTAAGTCAGAAGTATGGTAGAAAACTTTCCATCAAATAATATATTCACAAGTTACCAATACATACAAAATGCTCCCTCGGGAGAACACAGATTTAAGATTAGTAGGTAACCCACTCTCCCTGCATCATTCACCTGCAACCTGCCGCACGAAAAGAAAATGAAACCTTACATTTGCAGTTCCATAATGTAGGCAACTTCATAGTGGCATTCAGGAAACTGGACACATCTTCGGGGAAAAGTTGGCAGAGAGTACTTCAACAACCTCCCGTGGGTTTAAAATCATTGCATAAAATTCAGGATTTCCTGAAGTGCCGTAGAACCCTCTCATGGCCACATGGCTTACAAGCTGGTCCAGGCTATACAAGTAGAACGTAATAAAAAGGAAGATCACTGCCCCCACCCCCCACCCCCCGTAGACAAATGCCTCCGCAATATAGTGGCAAACAACCTGGATTGATCAAGAGGTCATGAAGAAAAGCGCTGCAGAGAAAGAGCTGCATTTATGTAACTTCCTACTATAGGCACTTTGCAAGCTGCTGAAAAATGGGCAGGTCTGTTTTCAGAACTGGAAGTGGGACGTGCTTTGCTCAGTTCCTGGGGCCCTCCCACTAAGAAAACAGGTAAGCAGGTTATATGAAAACATACGGCTCAGGATTCCTAAGAATCTATCGAGTAGGTTCCTCCCCACCACAGAACACCTGGATAGACAGGAAAACAAGTGTGGTTACCCGGCTTTTGAGAGAATTTATCTTCTGCTCCTCATGCACAATTCATTTAAAAATGCCTTAAGTCTCTAACACTATCTCAGGGGAGCTGCTTTCAAGGCTGCTTAGTAGGCTAATGCTGCTATTAGTTCCACTCAAAGCCGGTCAAGCCACAGTTTGTTGCAGGGAAAGAACACGGACAGCATTCCTGGGCAGAGCTTCCTTATCAGGTTTCTCTTTAACCCTTTCACTAACATGCACATACATTAGGGGGGCGGGGAGTGCAGGCTATAAATAGAGAGGGGAAATCACACTTGACTAGCAGGCCCAGAAGACCCAGCCACTTCTGAAAAAGCAAACCGGTACCGGCCCTTCCAGAGTAGACTAGTCAGTACTGACAAGGCACCCTTTGCCATGTCTGCCCCTCAACTTGCCTTCCTTTCTAGGATGGCAAAGCAGCTGCTGTGATTAAAGATTCACACTGCTTATGATTTTATTACATGATAATTTATTAATTACACAGCATTTGCTGTGAAACTCTTTATCTTCCAGAAAACTGCAGATTCCGAAATGTGAAACCCTGTACAGGGCATCATGAATAAACTGAAGCTCAATCCAGACAAGACTGAGGCACTGTTCGTCGGCAGTTCCCTAGACCAGATGGATGGCAGGTTGCCTGCTCTTCATGGAGTAACACTCCCTCTGGAGGACTAGCAACATAGCTTGCCTTGGGTGCTTCTGGGTCCTTTGCTGTTGCTTGTGGCTTAGGAAGCTTCAGTGGTGCAGAGTGCCTTCTATCAGCTTTGGCTAGTGGCCCAGCCGTCTCCCTATCTGGGCAGGGACAGCCTAACTTCTGTCACCTATGCTCTGGTAAACTCTAGGTTAGATGACCACAACACGTTATACATGGGGTTGCCTCTGAAGATGGTTCAGAATTCAGCAGCTAAGGCAAGACAGTTCAAGCATATGACATCCTGGCCTGACTGCACTGGCTACCAATTAGTTTCTGGGCCCAATTCTATGTGCTGGTTTTGACCTATAAAGCTTTAAACGGCTCTGGACTGCAATACCTCAAGGACCGCCTCTCTCCATATGAACTGACCTGGAGCCTTCTTTGTGTGCCTTCTTCTTTGTGTGCCTCCTCCACAAGAGGTCTGGAGGGCAGCAACATGAGAACGGCCCTTTTCTACAGCAGCTCCCTGTTTATGGAATTTTCTCCTCAGGGGGGTTTGGCCGGAGTCTTCATTATACACCTTCAGGCGCCAGGCGAAAACAGTTCCTCTTCAGCCAGGCCTTTGGCTGATTACTATCTTAGAGGCCTTTCAAATGTTACATATCTTGAGGCACCAGGCAAAAACATTCCCTTTTTCCCAGGCCTTTGGTTAATTAAACAATCTATGGCTTTTTAAACTGGAGGTGGGGAGGGATAATTGTTTTTGTTTGTTACTGTGTTATGAATTTTTGTGTTTTTAAATTGTAAGCTGCCCCGTGATCCTCGGATGAAGAGAGGTATAGAATGTAATAAATAAATAGTTTATTAAATTTGTATTGATAAAAGCAATCATTGATATATATACCTTCCACCCACAATAAGTAGAGGTGTGTGTCTGCCTGCCTGCCTGCTAACAACCAATCTCCCTGGACACATTTAACTTTGCTTGCTATGAAAGGAATTCCTTTTGTTGGTGTTTCTTAAGTCTATAGCCTTTATGGTTGTGAGAAGATACCTTCAGCCTTCAAAAATGTGAATCCAGCATTAAAATACCTCTGCAGTTGCATATGCAACCCCGCAGACATGAGCTATCTTTTGCTAAGAATGTAAGAGCCCTGATGCTCTTACCAAACACCTGATGCTGAACCAAAACAGCGATCTCCCTAGTCCAGCATCTTGTTTCTTACACTGGCAACCTTATGCCTCTGGGTCCCGCTATTGCTTTACAGCACCTGGTATTGAAAGGAATGCTGTCTAATCCTGTTGTGTCAGTTCTCTTCAGTTTCTCTAAACAAAACACTAAAGCTGCCCAGTAGTCGGGGTGGGGGGGAATCCCCTCAATCACAGGAAGATTATGGGTGAACAAGAAACACCTTAAAATATCCAACTGTTAAGTTGTGGGTGAACATATCAGACGACACAGCGATTCTTCAAGCAGCTCTTGTTTATTCACAGGCCAGGACAGAACTCAACTCAACTGAAGGGTTCAGTCAGCCTGCTTATATAGAGCTCCACTACAACGTTACTGTAACAACTTTCTAAAACTATCCAATCACTGAACGTCACTTTCGATCCCTTATTGCATAACTATCTACAGTATCCCCCTGCTGGCCCAGGGTGAGAACTTCAGTACATAACACCAACAACTGTAAAAAAAAGAATACATGGAAAACCTACAATAGGATGATCTAGGTAGACTAAAACACACACAAAGTACCTAATTCCCAGTGTATTTCAAACACAAGAGAAAGGCTGCTTCACAAACAAGACAGTAGATTTGTTCACCAATTCAAGAGAGCTATCTTTTCTCCTAAATACATTTCTCAGACCCTTACCAAATAGGTAAGCAGATTCAGTTTAGGGTTTGCATGACACATTAAACTGTGGCTAATCAAAAGCAAGCAATAGCTTTCCATCTTCTCGTTGCCATGTTACACTGACAAGCATGGAAACACAAAGCTCGGTGTGGCTCCTCCTCATTCCACTAAACTCAAGTTAATATGATGTTTGAATGTGGCCAGTGTGTTTGATTTCCCTCCTGTATTAAAAAAAATATCCCTGAACAAACTAGTACGCTTAAGAGAAGCTTAGATGTTTGGGTTTTTGTTTTGTTTTTACGTGAGAGAGAATACTTCAACGTGTCATCTTCCACCTGCTACTTGAAACGGCCTATTTTAGGGAAGTAGTGTGCCATGTGGCATTTCTGAACATGTTTAGAACTGAAGTTTAAGTCTTTCTAAGAATATTTTTGGAATAAACCAAAACCTGTTTAAGGTTTCAATTCAGTTTTTAAAATAAAGATGCCTAAATCCTTCACTTGGAAACTATTATGTTTGGTAACAGGTAAGTCCAGGGGCCACGCATGGTTCTGAGGCCTCAGGACTCTTTCTAGGCCACATCCCCTCAGCAGCCCTAACTCTGCAGCCTCCCTGGGTGCTTTTGCCTGTCCTTGCTTTCCTGGAGGAGACATGTATGCATAGAAACCTCTGACCTTTGGGGTGTGTACAGAAACCATGGCTGGAATGCAGCCTACTGTATGGTGCAGGAATGGGGAACCTGTGGCCACTAGGTTGTTATTGGAATCCCAACAGCCCCAGCCAGCCTGGCTAAAGGTCAAGGATGATGGGAGCTGAAGTCCAGCAACATATGGAGGGTCACAGGTTCCCCATCCCTGCTACATAGGTTAAGAGTCACATGATCTAATGCTCTACCAGTTTTGGCCTTTGGCTTATACGTGCTTATACGTGGCCCACAACAGGTTGCCCATGAGGGGAATACAATGCTCAGGCTGAAGAAGATTTCCTATCCCTTCTTTTCATATCCTTATAGATTACAAGATGCTTTTGTTATGACTTTTTGTGTGTGTGTGACTAAGATCTCTCCACATCCCAAAGCAGAACTACATCAGACCTCATGCCAAACCTTGGTAGGCATTATGTGAGCACACAGTTTGGAGCCTTGGGCTTACACTGACCTCACGTGCCCTCGTGTGAAGGCAATTCACTCTCTAATGAAACCTGATCTGATGCGAAAAGTAATGCATCATAAGGCTCTCAAGAACCTACAAGCACTAAAGACCACCTGTCCAAAAAATTACCTTCCTTCTCTCCAACCCTGTTATATAGTGGAGATGTTTAACTTCCATTTATGCCATTTCCCCATGACATCATGTTTTTCTAGCTCTTATTTATGAACCAAATATCACCAAGAAGGCCAAAGCGCTAGGCAGGGTACCTACCCCAGCTATCATCTCAAGATTGACTTTACTGCCTGCCACAGGTATAGACTTCTTATTGTGACAAATCTTGCACTGAATGTTTTTTAAATTAACATCTAGTCACCTTTACTGTTCTAAACCACACCAATCTTACACACAAGCACCCTTATGCACTTGATATCCAGTGCTAATTTTTTAAGAATGCATAACTTAACAATTGCAAGTCTCGGAACTTAGTTGTAGAGTGCAAAGGCAAACAACTAGCAATATATGTTAGAATTCAAGCATTTTAAAAAATGGCCAGTGCAGACGTTTCCCAAGCGTATCAAAGCTTACCTTCTCCAACAACGAATTCTGCCACAATCTAAAGATATTGAGGTAGCTTCTGTCTCTGGCACTGAATGAAGTAAAGAAAAACTGCAAAGAAAAATGACAATTGTGTACAATTTGTAAAATGATCTGAATGTTGCATATCCTCATCCCAAGGAAAATACATGGAACTAAGGCTACATGATTTCAGTTGATTTTGTTTCCATTAATAAGGCTGTCCCCATCCGGGTGGATTTCAGAGGACAACTTAACACACATCTATTCACACAGGCATTTGGGGGAGGTCCGTTATTGAGGAGGACTATTTCTGATGCTGCTGCTGAGCTGTTTTGATTGGCATAATATGTTTTTAAATTGTGCTTAAATTAATTACTTACTTCACCAAACCTTTATTAGGCATTACAAGTATAGGTCATCATAAAACTTAATAAAACAGCCATGTAAAATATATAATGACACAGATTTTCATTGGGATTTCTTCCCACTAAATAATGCCATTCACAACTCTAAGAGATACTATTGACAAACACTCAGCCACCCTTGCAGTTACTTCCAGGTTAATGTCAGACAGATAGAATCTGATATTTTCATTGTGCCATGGTGTTAAGGTAAAGGTAAAGGTACCCCTGCCCGTACAGGCCAGTCTTGACAGACTCTAGGGTTGTGCGCTCATCTCACTCTAGAGGCCGGGAGACAGCGCTGTCTGCAGACACTTCCAGGTCACGTGGCCAGCGTGACGAAGCTGCTCTGGCGAGCCAGAGCCGCACACAGAAACGCTGTTTACCTTCCCGCTAGTAAGCGGTCCCTATTTATCTACTTGCACCCGAGGGTGCTTTCGAACTGCTAGGTTGGCAGGCGCTGGGACTGAGCAACAGGAGCGCACCCCACCGCGGGGATTCGAACCGCCGACCATACGATCAGCAAGTCCTAGGCGCTGAGGTTTTACCCACAGCGCCACCCGCGTCCCTTGCCATGGTGTTAGACTACCCAAAAAGGGGGATAGCACGGGTTTGTGTAGCTGGTTGTACAATGGACAGTAGAAAAGGATATGTTCTACAGTGTCCAACACATTCAAAGAACATCCACAATGTCTATCATTTCTGGGGATGTTTAAATATCTGCCCTTGACAAAAGCTGGGGGGGGGGAAACATTCAGTCGGGTTAACATAAAGGCCTGCTTGGACTGGAATTATTAATTTTGAGATATAAGTGACCCTGTTATCTGTTGTATTTAAACCATAGAACTTGAGGGAGCAAATTTTATTTACAGCTGACTCGATGTTTTGTTTTTCGATGTCCCTTAATCTGGTTTGAATATTGCGATAAATATATTGCTCACTTGAATTATACAAGGGTTCCAAGTCAATACCAATATATCTGATTTTGCTATGTAAGAGTTGGAATCCTCTGGATTTATGAGTCTTTAAGTAACTCAGAGAGGAGACTCAAAGGTTGGCAACGGAAATGGCAACGCAACCAGTATTTTATAGTGCTAGCCCACACCCAATATTCCATCTTGTATATACCTAGTTCTTCACACATTGTCTCATACTTGATTGAACTTGGGAGCCCCAGGACATGCCTCAAGAAACTTGAGCGTATTTTATCTAAATCACTATTATATGCTTGTATCCATATTGGGATCCTAAAAAACAGCTGGGGTGACACTTTAGCTTGAAAAATGTGTGTATTTTAAATTAATTGCTTTATGGTTTTCTTGTGTGTGCTCATCACCCAGATATTACAGGATGAGCAGTATATTTATAAATATAATAACAAAATAAAATGTTTACATCGAGATGCTATACAAATCTAATCAGAAATAAGTCCCACTAAGCTCAACAGGGTTTACTGCCACATAGGTCATTAGGGCAAATGGGGCACTACCCCATCAACTTCAGATAGCCCCCACTTATACTGAGTCCAGGAGGTGGCACTGGCTGTCACCTTCCTCTTCCTTAGTCTCAGTGTTGCCAATGTAGAACTCAGCCAGGTAAAGAATGGAGGCGAAACTAGATGAGCAGGGGGCAAATCAGGAGGTAGCAGCAACTGATCAGGAGTATGCAAGAGGGATGCAGATGACAGCAGACCCACCCACCTCAGAAAAGCATGCATTTGCAATCCTGACATTCCCACAAAGCAAGGAAGTCCTGCAAGTGAGCTTGCCATGCCTTGTCTTTAAAAGCATGGCTTGTGGGGGGTGGAAACAATTGAGGCATCATCATTGTTTACATCCAGTTCTTAGCATCTTGTCTGATCCTGAACCCCTGAACTGTGTGTCTGCTGCCTAGCTGGTACTGTTACATGCTTGAATAAATATCTCCCCCCCCCCACCCTTACACATAAGAATCTCTGTCTGTGTGTGCTGGGAAGGAGCCAGGACAGTTTAGCATTTTTTAAGAAAAAGAGTAAAAAATAAATTAAAGAGCATCACACCTTCTCCCCTTCAGTTGCTATCTGGATGGCATTTGGGATGAGCCGAGCTGTCTTCTCTTTTGTCATGAAGGTGATGTCCTTCAAGGCGATAGAAATCTGAAGTTCAAGAACACACATGAAGTAAAACAATGTAAGACCTCAGACGAAAGCTATAAAGACATAGTATGTCATAGTATGTAAAACATTGGTTTTCAGACTTGCTATACACAAGGAACCTTTTCTATATCAGCTTGTCTGCAGCAGAACCTTCTAGGTGTGGCAGAGAATTCTGGGCACAATAAAAAGTGGGGTGCAGATCACTTTAGGAAAGTAAGGACTAGCCCAAGACATTTTGCCATCTGAGGCAAAGGAGGGTCTCTCCCCCACCCCATGTCCAGAAGCCAGTCAAACTGGCAGTTAAATATCACTTCAACATTGGCAATGGGACAGCATCTATCACCACACTTGAGGAAGTGCAAGGCCACCTCAGCCAGCCACCTCACTTTGCCTAATGGTAGGTCAATCCCAATTTTGCTGCCCGAGGTCATTGTCTCACTATGCCTGATGGTAGGGTTAGTCCTAAGGAATCATTGCAGGCACACACACACATGTGCGCGCGCGCGCGCACACACACACACACACACACAGGCCTTACTGTGGTCTCCCATCGGAAGATGTTGCTGTGGAAACAAAGCCAGTTTTCAGAAAGATACAGACGTCCTTGAAGGAGGATATCCTTCTGGAGAGCACAGGCATAATCTAAAAAGGGAAATGATAAAAGAGTGTATATTTTTAACAGAGCTCAGCTAAACTCATGATTTAGCTTATCAGCAATGTTGTGCTCCTAAGGAACTTCAAGCAGCTTTAAGTATCTTGTGGGTGGTTGTTAAAATGAAGGAAATTTTCTTCATTTGTCAGAGGGATACCTGAAACATTTCATATTCTGAGCAGCTTCAGGGGAAAAAAACCTTTTAAAGAACAGCGTACAACTATTTTAAGATGTGAGGAAAATCAACATGTGCTTTATTCCTCAGTAAACCTACATGCTTGGCAAAACTTCAAAAACAGGTTGAGGAAAAAAGGCATGTCTGTGCTGGAAAAGGGATATCCTTGAAACTTACATGCATATGAAGTCATGTATCTGACCGTGCTCTTTTACAGAATGGTCATCAGGTTAAGCCTAATGTTGTCTGCTCATAGTATGGATGCCCACGGACTTACATAGTTTAAAAGGTGAGCTTACTGTGGAAGTGCATTTGCCAGGTTTTATTTAGGTATATCATCTTCTCTCCCATAATGAGTTGAGCAGAAACTGGTTCTTCCAGTTTGCAACAAAAGATTGACTGGAAGCTGGTGACATCATTACTTCCAGAACCAGTTTTTCCAAGGGTTACACACTTGAGGGCCAAACTGCTCCTAATGTTATATGTGTGAATGCAGTTAATGTGTCCTCTTTTATTTTTAATAGCAGCTGCTGGGAGGAGCAGGAATGAAACTCTGTTACATCCTTTCCCTCCATTCCCATGGTCCTGATGTCAGACACAGACACACGTAAGTTACTGTAGGCCCCAGGAGGGAAACAGCCATTAATACTGGCATGAATAATGGCAATTTCCCTCCTGGAGAAAACAGCAGCTTTGAGGTATGGGCATTTTTCACAGGGATCATGACATGGAGAGAGAAGAGAATAAAACTTAAAACTGAAACCCTGCAAAGCACATATTCTGCTTTCCAACTCTGGCCCCTCCTCAATATACCAAGATTTACCCAGTTCTAAAAAATTTCCTCCTGTTACAGGCAGATTGAGGAAGCAATCCAAACCCAAGATCTGCTGGGATGAGCCAGGTTTGGAATAGGCAGATCTCCAGCTGAGTCGGGGCTCAGCTGGGCCTACATCAGCTGAAATTCCTCATCCTTGCTCAGATGGATGTGTGCCAGTTTAAGTCACCCATCCCAACTAAGGGATTAAAGGTAAAGGGACCCCTGACCATTAGGTCCAGTCGTGACCGACTCTGGGGTTGCGGCGCTCATCTCACTTTATTGGCCGAGGGAGCCAGCGTACAGCTTCTGGCGAACCAGAACAGCGCACGGAAATGCCGTTTACCTTCCCGCCGGAACGGTACCTATTTATCTACTTGCACTTTGACATGCTTTCCAACTGCTAGGTTGGCAGGAGCAGGTACCGAGCAACGGGAGCTCACCCCGTCACGGGGATTCAAACCGCCGACCTTCTGATTGGCAAGACCTAGGCTCTGTGGTTTAACCCACAGCGCCACCTGCGTCCCTAACTAAGGGATTAGCAAAGGCTAAAAAGAGCCATTCTGGGAGAGAGGTAGGGGGAGACCCAGTGTCTTTTTTCTAGAAAAACAGGTGCCAGTACCCACCATGAAGTTACTGTAACAAGTGCCATACTTTTAAAGAGGTGCTGGTACTGTGTACCCTTGAGTACCTCCTGAGGAGAAAAGCACTGGGGAGATCTAAAGTAACCCATTGCAAACTCTGTTCAGCCGGTCACCCACAGGAAGTGACACTGGCAAAAAAGAAGAAGAAGAGTTTGGATTTTATATCCCGCTTTATCACTACCCGAAGGAATCTCAAAGTGGCTAACATTCTCCTTTCCTTTCCTCCCCCACAACAAACACTCTGTGAGGTGAGTGGGGCTGAGAGACTTCAAAGAAGTGTGACTAGCCCAAGGTCACCCAGCAGCTGCATGTGGAGGAGCGGGAAGCGAACCCAGTTCACCAGATTATGAGTCTACTGCTCTTAACCACTACACCACACTATTTTAAAGGCTTGTTTTCCCTCTGCTAGGCTCAGGCCACCTCAGCCATCAGTAGCCCCTGTCCTTCAGGGGGTAAATTACACAGGCATAATATACCCCAGCATAAATCAGGCTTGCTTCTTGCAGCTCAGATTGCCCTGCCCATTTTACAAATTGTTCAGACTTCACACTGAACTTGAGCCCTAAAAGTAGAAACTTATGAATAAATCTGCATCAGTATCTACTGCTATCCAAAAACCACACATTTTTGCCACCACCTGTTCCAAAATAAAGTGCCTCCGTATCACTGGAACCTGGCAATCTGAACAGATAAAACAAAAACTTTCAGGGATTAGGACTCAAAGACTGCTTTAATAATTTGAGCCTCTCCATCAAATGCACTAGCTCTGAGTGGGACAGGCTTTCTCCCTATACAGACAGTGCTTCTCTCATTGAGGAATAATTATTTCCAAACACTATGCATTCTAATTTATTTATCTACAGTATGTTAAAAGCTTCTATACCGCTTCTCAAGGCCAAATTGCCTAACAAATCAGTTTACAAATCAATAAGCATATACAAACGAAGCACTACAAGCATTGAAAGCCAATTACATCCAAAAATAGAATACAAAACTAGCACAGAGCAAGCAGTTCTTTTAATTCAGCATCAAAAGTTGACCTTAAAAGGGCATGATTTAAAGGGGGGGGTTGCTGTTTAAAAGTTGTTAAAGGCCTACCTAACATCACTCAGAGCAGAATTCCAAAACTGGGAGACCGCCGCAGAAAAGGCAGTGTTCTATGTACCTGCAAGCCTAATAGTTTTTACAATAGGGCTGCCATACGCCTGGATTTTCCTGGACATCACCGGGATTTCAAAGACATCCTTGGGAATTTCCAAAATGTGGTGCTTTGTCAACAACTTTGGGGTTTCCCTAAGAAAACCTGTTTTTTTTTCTTTTTGAAATATGGCAACCCTATTTCACAGGCACTTGAGTAGTATGAGGGTATGAGTAGGTTAATGTGTGTGCACACAGTCCATAATATAACCTGGCCCCAACCATTTAGGACTTTAATGTCATCACCAGCACTTTGAATTGGGCCCAGAAACACACTGGTAACCAGCGCAATTGGCTAAGCATATGTTTAACACAATATGACCTCCTGGCCCCAGTAGCTAGACAGCTGCATTCTGTACTAGTTGTAACTTCTGAACTATCATCAAATGCAAGCCCATGTAGAAAGCTTCGGAGTAGTCTAGCCTGGCAATCTCTAGTGCATGAATAATTGTGGCATGGCCCAACATCTCTTAATAGGTTCACGGCAAACAAACTGAAGCTGATAAGAAGCAACTTCAGCCCCCACCATCTGGGGGCTGCACACCCAAGCTGCAAACTTGGTCTTTCAGGGCGAGTGCAATTCCATCAAGGATTGGTTGAACACCTCCATCTAGGGTAATCTCCTTTCCTATTCACAGCATATCTGTTTTAGCTGGCTTAAGCTTCAACTTTTATGAGTAAGAAGGTAGGCTTCAAGGACAGAGGGCGTGGTGTCATGGAGAACTGTGCTTTTGGCCTTCTTTTCAGATTAAGAACTAGCTCTCCTCCCATTCTTTATTCTTTAAACGGTTTTGCTCCTTTTTTATCATATGTAATAGCTCCTGACTTCGCGTCACATATTGGAGAACAGTTGATACTGCTGTAGGGTGCAATACAGCAAAGCTTTAAGGTCAGAGTAGGAAACATTTTAATGAATAACAACATTTCCTTTGAATACAATACTATGACTTTGCACTGTCCTTGACTAGCCAAACTTGCATTCAGTGCAGCCCATGCCTAATCCGGTTGTTTACTCTTCAAATTCAGAATGGTTGTCATATGGAAAGTATGCCTCACACAAAGAGCCAAATTGCTTGCTTGCTTGCTTTCCTACACCAGTGCAAACGGCAGCTTGGAATTTTAGAATAAAGTGGAATTGTTTACTACAGACCATACTAATTCTCTATTGGATATGGGCTATTTTAAAGCTTCAGATAATGTTTCAGTAAGGATGTCTTAAAAATGAGATCAAGTTAGCTTGTGTCATGGGCGCATTTGAAAGCTGTGCAAAATACATGAGGGAGATATGGAGGATTTGCAAAGGGATGAAATCAAAGGGCAGGGCCTTGTTGAACATTCTGAGAACAAAAGGCAAATACATCCAGAAGATTAAAGAGCAAAATGTCAGCGCTGTTCAAGCACAGAGAAATTAAAGGCAAGCAAATAAGGCACAAATGAAATGAAATTAGCAAGAAGATGTTCTGCAAGTACAAATGAACTGGAAACTGACTGCCCCCCTCCCAAAGACCTCTTCTTAATCTGCTGTTTGAACTTCTTGAAAATGTTTCAACATTATGGCAAGGTCCAGAGATCCAAGGCTAGGGATGGGCAAATATGTCAATTTTGGTTTCTCTCCATTTCTCATTTTTCTTAACATCAGTTAAATTCCCTTTTTTTAAAAAAAAGAAGTCTTCATGAAAATTCACCAGCATTTCAGTGCTAATTCCTCCTAATAGCATATACACATTTCTGTATTCAATTTTGCCAGATGCATGCATTTTTGCAAAGCAATTTCTCCTAATATAAAGCATCGTTGTAGACATTTTTATGCACACTTTACCCTAGCGTGTGCATTCTTATGCATATTAACTGACTGGGGAACTGCATTGCAAAATTCTGGAAAGTGTGAATTTCAAAGAACAGCTGGGTTTCAGTTTACATACTGGGGAAACCCAGCCAGATGGGCGGGGTATAAATAAATTTGTTGTTGTTGTTGTTGTTGTTGTTGTTTCAGAAAGTGTGGCTCAAGGAAGCTGTCCTTTAATTTGTTTCATTTTCATCACTACAAAGCATTCAGTATTTTTGGCATTACGTTTCCAAGTTACAAGGTTCAAATTTGCTTTAAATATAACAATGCAGCTTGTAGCTCCACTCATAGGATGAAACGTTTCCCTCTTACCTACTACAAGCCTTTCCAAATCTGGCAGGTGCGAGAATTGTCTCTTAAATTCCTCATTCCTATATTTGTAAGTGGAGCTTGAGATCTGCAAAAAGAAAAGGTTCAAGGAAAAAAAGGGGGTTTTGTGTTTTATTATCATCAAAGCCTTGCAGAAAAGCAAGTGTCAGAATTAACGCAAGTGTACAGTGTCCACACCCAGTGAATTATCCAGGCACTGTCGCCTTAAGCACAACCCAGTCTCCAGCCTTCCCTTGATCTGGCAGAAACCCTCCTGAAGTTCTGAAGCCCCCTGAATCCCAGCCAGGGAGTTGTACATGGAGTTCGCATTCCATACCCAAGGTTTAACAGACAACACAAAAGGAAATTACTGTTATCATCTCATTGTGCAATGTGCACTTATGAAATATAGCAGTCTGAATGTATCATAGATATTAATGCAAAATGCAAAAGCAGCTGTACTCTGCTATTGGAATCCTGACTGCCTTCCATCTGTAGAAACGTGCACAAGGCTGAGATGTGGATGTGAGATAAAGCTACAGAATGTGGGTGTGAGATAAAGACTCCTCCTATGTGGCTCAGGACATCTCAGACTGTTTCCAAGGTGCGGAAAGAAGCAGTGGAAAGGAGCTGTGCTGTAGCAACTCCCACATTTCAAAGGTAGCATAAGAAGAGGTCATAGAGGCCTTCCCTGGTAGAAATAGCATGTGCAAGTTAGCAAGTTGGGATTCTGGAAGCGGCAGCTCAGCCCCTGGCAGAAAATGACATTCCATGAGGACCTAACTAGCATCCTTCCCTTTCTTGTGTCCTAGCATGGGGAAGCTCTGGCCCAAAGACTAGGCCTCTGGATTTGACCTGCAAGGCCATTCTGGGCAAACTGTGGCTGCCAGTCACGTGGTATCATACGGCATCAGGCACTGAGATCTGCTATTTCCATAAGCACAAAGTGCTAAAGTAAGCAATAAGGGAACTCATATCTTTAGTCTTGGCACCGTGAGACCACAGTGCTAAGATCGGAGATAAGCCTCTGCCTAGTTTTTTTAGAAGATGCAAACAAGAAAAAGCCAGCAGGTACAAAAAGCCTCTACCTCTACCTAAAAGGCAACAGGCAAAGACTTATATCCAATTAAGATAAGCTTCTAGTACTGCTTTTTTAATATAATATAAAAGAAAAAGCAGAGGTTTACCTCTGATCTCAGAGATGTGGGACTTTAGAACAAACATGGGAGATGTGCATGTGCCTGCTACCATGGCTTTGAACTTTAGAGTCACCTGGCATCATATGATTCATACGACATCCGTAATTAACAGGCGGGTGGTCCTCACCTTGCTTTCAAAATGGTCTAAAGAGTATAGCCCATTTCTGGATCCACTACTCCAGCTTTACCTTTTGCCTAGTTCTTCCCCCACCCCTTCCTTAAACTAAGCTGTTTCAGAATATTGGTGCAAAATGATGGGCAAGATTCAACTGAATAGTTGTGCTGTTAGAAACCAGCACAGCAAGTCCCACTAGTGCAATAAGGCTTTCCCTCTTCCCAACTCGGGATGTGTGTGTCAGGAGAACATCCAGAACAGCATGGGGGGGGGGTTAGATGGGAGAGTGTTCCAAACAGCCAAGCAGAAATACTTGCACTGATGGAGCAATCTTCTATCAGCTACTTTGAATTCCACCCAACATCTTTAATGTAGACGTGGAGAACCTGTGGCCCTCTAGATGATGCTAGACTGAAATTACCATCATCCCTCACCTTAGGAACCTGCTGGCTAGGACTGATGGGAGTTGAGGTTCAATACCTGGAGGGCCACAAATCCCACCCACCCTGCTTTAATCGATTCAGCCAGAAATCTCACAGAATAAGTGGCAAACACTGGCCAGGTTCTACTAATTTTCTTCTATGTTTAATAGTGCAGAGGATTAATATAGATGCTGCATGTATTCTGTTCATTCTTGCAGGTCATCATGTGAGATATACATCATTTTAGAGTTCTTTAAGCTCCCTTTGGAACACCAAAGAGGATTTCTCCACTAGCAAGCCAATTCACTGTAATTGCCCCTGGGTAAACAAAAAACTTCTGCATGCATGCTTAGATTATCACAATACTCAAGCCAAAGCAACACTGCTAAAAATCAGCACTCCAGGGGAGTCTTTTCAAAGCCAAAACTGCACAAACTAAATCTCTTGAGCCTCAGCACTGCTAAATCACACCAGGCCTCATCTACAAACCGCTTGCAGGTGTATAAATCTATGACTGTTTTCCCATAAACTGAACAAAGACTACCAAAAATGCAATTGTTTCTAAGCAGAAGATACAACGTGTAAGACAAAGAGAAAAGATATATAGCTTAAAATAGTGGAAAAAGCAGTGGAATGTGTAGGATCTTAAATACGTAAAGCTTTTTATCTTGCGTCTTGTATTCTTCAGCATAATCCGCATGCTGCTTTTTCCAGGCCTAATGATATTTTAGTACAAAAGGCATGTTTGTGGTGGAAGGACAATTAAGATACGGTACTCTGCTTCAGTTGGAATTAAAGCGATTAAAGTCAGGAAAACAGCAAAAGGAAGGGTAACTTCTTCATACAGCGCTTAGTTGGGACTATAGCATCCACTCCCACAAGAGGTAGAGATGGCCACCAACTTTGATGCTTTTAAAAGGTTAGAAGATTGACTAGGTTCTATGTCTGCTTTCAGAGGCACTATGACTTTGAATGCCAGCTGCTGTCCACTGTTGACTGGCAGCAGTTCTAGAACCTGGGCCCTCCATACATTGTTGGATTGCATTTCCCACCATCCCTGTCCAATGGTCATGCTGTGGCTGATTGAAGCTGCAGCCCAACAACGTCTCCAATGGTTTTGGAGAGTCATTCCTGCTCTAGCAGCTCTGAAACAGGCATCTTTCACATCATCCGCCACCTAAGATGCTAAGGTTTAAGCTTGTGACCTTCTGGGTGCAAAGCATGTGCTCTATGGTTCTCTCCACGGACAATCTCTTCAATCAAATCTAGTTTGACTCCAATCCTTGCACAAGTGCACACCCCCTCCCTGAGCCCCTTCCAGTGCAGCCATTAAATTGGAAGCTTCCACTACTGGTTCATATTAACCATGATTGAGTGTTATGTCTGAACAGTAAAGTGTGGTTAATCGTAAATATATGTCACCTTCATAAGCTATTGTTTGAAGCTGGCTTGCTTCTACTCATCACAGTTAGGACTAACTGTGGTTTGTCTGGGTTCAGACATCACCACAAAGCAGCATTCAGTTTCCAAACTCCTCCTTGCCACTGTGGTGGTGGACAAAGGCATACTTAGGGTCCCTTGTGCCTTTGTGGCAAGAAGTTGCATTGGCACCCTCTGCAAAAATAAATAAATCATTTTACCACAAGGGCGGGAAGCTTCTTCCACGTTTATCTCACCACAACACCTATCTGTCCTACACTCCAAAGTCTGATAGGTGGTGTGTGTGTGTGTGTGTGTGTGTGTGTGTGTGTGTGTGTGTCCACATGGAGGGCAGTTTTCCCAACCCCTAAGTATGCCTCTGCTGGTGGAGGAAGGGGAGAGCATGTGAGCCCAAGGCTCCTTGTGGCTCATCTTCATAATACCAAGCCATGGTTTATTTTTACATGTGAACACAGCTCACGCCTGCTTTATCTCTCTCACATGCTGCAGCTTTCCTATTACCTTTTATTAACGTAAATATTCTACAGGAGCGTGGGCACTCTGCCCTGTTTGCAGGTGTGTTTTATTGCTCTCAGAATCAGCACCTAAACCTAGAGAGCCCTAGCAGAGTTGCTCACTTGCTTACTCTCCTTCCATCTCTCATTCAAGAAAGAAAGTTTAAGATACTTAACTTTCATAGGTCATGTGGCTCTTTCACCAAATTTAGTACTGTTTAGTCTAGAAAATAGGTGTTGTTAAATGTGCAAAGATATTGCTGATGCACACATATACGCCACCCTCTTAATATATGCATGGCCGTCATTTCGTGACCACAACATCAAGGTGTGTGAATGAGCCGTCGCAGATCCACCATTTATAAAAAGAGCTTCAACTTCATCTCAGATAAAATGTTTTTTCTCTGGAGCCAGCTGCACATCCAGATGAGAATGAGCCGAATCGAAACATCTCTATCCTTCAAGCTTTAGAAGAACCAGGCTTGTGTGTTCTACTTACATGCATTTTCTGTTCCTCTTCATTTCCCCTGAGCTGCTCTGGAGAGGATAGTCTCCTAAGCAGAGGGCTCTCTTCCAGAGGGCTAATGGCAGACAGAGGCCTGGGCATTAGTGTGATTATGTCCCAGTCTTTGGCTCAGCCCCCCTGTTACTTGTAGAGGCTGAAGGAGAAAGATTTTGAAAAAAATCAGATTAACTGTGCAGTGTTTGGGCAGGTGAGATTTTTTTGCCTTCAATCAGACCAGGAAAACATTCCCAGTAGAATCAAATAAACTAATTTTCAGAAACATTTATGCCAGATAACACAACATCAATAATCATTTTTGTTAAGATTCAGATTAACTAAACACAGTAGTAGTTAAGAGAATGCTATAACTTCACCAGGTACACAAGAGAAACAAACCATTCAGGGTCACATTGCAGAGTATCTTAGAAACCCTGGCTCCAAGTCACTGAATTGTAGACACATTTTTTTAAAAAATGCCCACACAACACACAGTCAGATAGGGGAAGAAAAAAGGATGGGTGGTATTCTACTAAACAGTTAGACTAGTGTGCTCTGCAGTGTTCCCAGCCTCAATGATCAATGTGGTAAATCTCCAGAGGCTATCCAGAGCAGAATGCCTGAAAATATATTTGTGGCATAAAGATGTATGGAACCTGGCAACTACAGAAACGATAACCCCACAATATAAAGTTACAGATAGGTAGCCGTGTTGGTCTGCCATAGTCAAAACAAAAAAATTCCTTCCAGTAGCACCTTAAAGACCAACTAAGTTAGTTCTTGGTATGAGCTTTCGTGTGCATGCACACTTCTTCAGATACCAGATATCTGAAGAAGTGTGCATGCACACGAAAGCTCATACCAAGAACTAACTTAGTTGGTCTTTAAGGTGCTACTGGAAGGAATTTTTTTGTTCCCACAATATAAAGGTTTCCAAAGGTTTAGAAGATCCGGAACGTTTTTAGAAAATTTTTAGACAAATCCAGAACAGTAGTAATGTGGGACTTTATCATTTATACCAATACAAATAACCTCCATGACTTTTTCGCATGTCCACTGCAAGAAATATAGACTTCTTAAGGTGTGCTAGACACTGCTAATCCTTTAATTAAGACAAGTGTTGAAAGGTTAATTAAGCTAGCTAACTTCATTGTGAGGAAATTGCCTGGGCTGGTGGGCCATTAATAAGACTACAGAGGATCAAAGGAACTGTGTGAGACATCAAATGGGTGAGGCCCCTCTTCTTCAAGAGATGAAGCCAAGTACTTTAGGTTAGACGTTTAGGGTTCAGAGCTGTGATGTGGCAAATGAGTTATGTGATCTAGAAGCTGAAGAAAAGCTGCAGGCAGGCCCAGCCATGGCAGATGTCTGTTTGAATCCAGGGCTATGCCTATGGGAGAAGCAAGACCCTCTTGGAGTGTAATGTTGAGAACCCTTCTGTCATAGGTTCAGGTTGTATATGTGTGTAAATAAACCATATATCATAAAGACACCAAAGTTTGTGCTGCACCTCATTTCCAGAAGGAAACACAAACCCTGGGTAAGCACAGCTGGAACGTCACACAACTCTGAGATTGGAGTGGCGTGTAACAAAAATTTTAACAGCCTTGAGACTGCTGTGGGAGAAGGTTTTGAAATCTCTTAATAAATAAATCCTTGCCAGTTAATAAATGTTTCATAACAATTTCATCTAGTTTCTTTTTGTCCATGCAATAGCTCAACATCTTGCTTATCAAGACAGAAATCAACACTCCGTTCTTTTAAGAATTCTCCATCATGCAGAGATCTTAAAGTCTGCATACCAATCCAGTCAGTCAGTTCAATTACAAAGAAGGTAGGATCTCAGCAAAGGACCAGTATGCTCCTGGAAATTTAAAAGGTGCATTCACACTTAATTTTTCAATCATGCCCCAAAGCAAATTCACTTGACTAGATTTTTGTTTTCCCCTTCTGGGATTGTCAACACAAACAGGGAATTTGCATGACTGGAACAGACTTAGGATTGTGGCACACTGTGCTCAAACATACTTTCTCACCAATGGGAGCGAACTCTTTCTTTCCAATGCACAATCCCAATAACAATGGGCAATACACATACCCACATCTGTACTGAGTTTAAGAAAAAGATGAAACATAGCTGCATGGTATACATTAAGCATAATGTGTAGTTTGGCCGTAGGAGTAAACAGCTTATGTGGATAATGGGAAATGTAAGATGCTGTTCACAGCTGGGAAGTAAGAAATGAAAGTAATGTTGCCTGCACCTTCACTCACATGAGAGCTGAATGGGCAGAGCCAGTGCTGCTGACTCTTCCTCAGTTCCAAATATGGTCCCTGTTAAGAATTAGTGGCTTACAAGGACAGGTAAAGGTAAAGGTACCCCTGCCCGTACGGGCCAGTCGTGTCCGACTCTGGGGTTGCGTGCTCATCTCGCTCTAGAGGCCGTGAGCCTGTGCTGTCCGAAGACACTTCCGGGTCACGTGGCCAGCGTGATGAAGCTGCAGCTGGCGAGCCAGCACCAGCGCAGCACACAGAAACGCCGTTTACCTTCCCGCTATAAAGCGGTCCCTATTTATCTACTTGCACTTAAGAGTGCTTTCAAACTGCTAGGTGGGCAGGAGCTGGGACCGAACGACGGGAGCTCACCCCGCCATGGGGATTCGAACCACTGACCATGCGATCGGCAAGTCCTAGGCACTGAGGTTTTACCCACAGCACCACCCGCGTCCCCCACAAGGACAGGGCACTACCATAATTGGCCAAAATCCTCATGGCACCACAACTACTATGGCCGACACAGCTTCATAGCCTTCTTGCTTATGACAGCTCTCAGAGTAGAGGATATAAAAGGATATAGAAGAGGAACAGCAGAAGAGGAATTAAGAAAAATAGTTCATCTTCCCATTCCCCAAGCTCTATGGTACTGTAATAAGAAAATATTGCCAAAACAGCAGACTCCCTCTTTCCTTTCTGCCTCTTGGAGCCACTGTGAAGAGATGGGTAGTCTGTTGGCTTGGTGGTGGTGGTGAGAAACATAACTGTCACTTATAACCATTTCCAGGGGTTGATGTTATGGGGAGCAGAGGAGGAGGCTGGGTGACTGCTGCTTAGGGATGGGGGAGAAATTTGATTCAGTTTGCATTTAAAGTCCCACTTCCTGAAACCCTGTGAGAACTGAAAGGCAGCCATCCTTCAAAATATGCAAATTTTTAAATACAGTTCTCCAGCCAACCCTTATTTACCAAAGGGCATAAAACTGCATAAAAATGAATATGTAAGTGAAAATAACATACAATGATACAGTAAAAGTGCACCTGGACGTTCTGTTGTTGCGCCCATAACCTAGATTTAAGGTGCTATTTAGCTCCTAGCTTTCAAATCTCAGTTTCTAACACTGTACCTGACTATACCTGTCAAAGCAGTTGCATGTGAAGACCCCCAAAATAAAGACACAATAGACACAGATTTTAGTTTAAGGTTTTTGGCATTAATTTTGGCCACAACTTTATTGTTTACAGCATGTGAGTGGTTGCTTAGGCATTGGTTCCAGACTACCTGAACCTGCACAGTGGCAGGAACAGGACTGACACTGGGCTCCACCATATGTCAGTGAGGGAAAGCATCCTGGGGGAGTGAGAACTTCTTCAATCTCACGGCTCACCCCAGATGCTCCCAGGGGCTCTGGCGTGGCTCTAGCCTAGCCCCTTGACAGGGTTCGGACAAAGGCAAGACGAGCCCCTGGATTCCTTTAACAGAATTCCCTAGCAGCAATGGAGGGGCAGGCACAGCCAACCACGTCCCCTCCGCAAAACAGTGAACCAAATGCCTAACCACCAACCTTACAAAGTTGTGACAATTTGCTACACGGTAGGCAAAAACAAAGTGGCACTAGCCAATCAGCCAAATGGCAAAATTCCTACCAGGCCCCTGCCCCTAGACAGGCATAGCAAGGCCAAAAGAACAACCCTAAATATAGGGAGAGGAGGGCAGCTGATCCGCTGCACGTCGCAAGAAAGAGAAGCTTTCCAGCGACGTGCAGCAGCTTAAATAGCCCTTCAGCAGCCAATAGCCATCCCAACCAGCCAAATTTCTGCCCCAGCAACAGAGGGGCAACCAATGGGGTGTTGTGGCCATCTAAACGGTCCCACCCTACAACAGGGAGGCAGCTTACGGTGATCTCACCGCAACACATGCCCTCCATGATGGAGGACACGACTTCTCTTTGGTAGAAAAAGGAAATACATTTCTGAAGCCTTATACCTTGCTTGAGATATAATTTTTTTCACATATTAGCTATTTTTTCATATGATGCTGAGTGACAAAGAGCACCAGGCCACAAATGTATTTTGTATAAGGTTCAGTTACTCAAGTAAATGCCAGAAACTAGTTCTTCCAGATAAGTAAAGCAATCCTTCAACAGCCTCCCAAACCAAAGTATGGATGAACACACAGAGACATGTAAAGGAGCTTTTCAAGAAATCTGCATCCTGCCTTATCCGTATTTTGACTCTTAACCACATTTGTAAATACTTAACAATCACTTCCCTCCTGATTGGGAAGGTGATAGAAGGCATCTGAAAATAGTGTTTCTAACATGACTCATCTAGGCCTCAATACCCAGTGCTCCACACTGGCAGCACTGGTGTTATGACAGGGCGGCTGATCATACTTCCGCTGTGATCTAATCATGTACAGAATCTCCTTGCTTCCGCCACCCTCGTAATTTGCACCATGATTTTCATAAAGTTTCTCTAGTTCTGAATAAATAAGGTTTCTGTTTCTCATAAATTAGGGGGTTTTTTAAGGGGAAAAAGCAAAAATGCTTAAATATATATATATATATATATATATATATATATATATATATATGCTTTCGTAGATTTTCACGGGTACAGGAATGCAGGTTTTGGTGTCCTCGGGTGTCTTCCCGTGTAAAAGTTGGGGTGTCTAGGCGACGTTTCGACGAGGTCTCACTCGTCATCTTCAGGCTGGTGCTTTCGGCTTCTTGTTTTCGGCTCGCTCTGTTCCAGTAACAAGAAGCCGAAAGCACCAGCCTGAAGATGACGAGTGAGACCTCGTCGAAACGTCGCCTAGACACCCCAACTTTTACACAGGAAGACACCCGAGGACACCAAAACCTGCATATATATATATATATATATATATATATATATATATATATATATATTGAAGGCAAAGAAAACAGTTATTTAAGAAGACTAGAAAATGTTGTTTCCTGTTTTAGAAAGTTCCTTCACTTGATATACAGAATAACCACATGGCACACAACAACTTAAAAGCTGTGCACTTATATTTTGCAGAGCAATGGGCTACCTATTCATGCCAAGTACAGACGCTATGGTGAAAATAAAACCATCTCAAATTATGCCAACTGCCTATACTGTAGCAATTATTTTTAACATTTAATTGAGATCATACCCTCAGATGTGCTTAAAAGCAAAAGCAAAACCACAAAGAACCCACATTTAAGATGTTTTTCATCGTTGCCTGGCAGCATAAAACTCTTAAATACTTAGGAGTGGGTGATTTTGTTGTTGACGCATTTATGTATGAGTATTATCTGAACT